TATAAGTGGGTTTGTAAGTACAGTTAGAATGAGTTCCTAAGTACCACGAACCTCCAAGTAATATGCCCTCATCCCAACCGATCACTTGTTTGCGTGGCCAACCCTAAACCTTCATCCCCAACCCGACTTCTTGAACATGCAAAGCATGCCAAACCCAAACTCCGCCCCTCAACCCCCAACAGAAACCCCCAAGCCGAGATAAAATCTAAACCCTAAACCCTAAACCCTAAACCCTAAACCCTAAACCCTAAACCCTAAACCCTAAACCCTAAACCCTAAACCCTAAACCCTAAACCCTAAACCCTAAACCCTAAACCCTAAACCCTAAACCCTAAACCCTAAACCCGAACCCTTGAACCCTAAACTCGAAACCATAAACCTTAAACCCTAAACCCTAAACCCTCAACCCTCAACTCCGAAGCGGCGCCTCCGCCGTGCGGCTGGCGCGTGGCGGACAGCTGTGGGCCGAGCCCCATGCCGGCCAGGCTCTTCTCCGCACTGAGGGGCACCTACCGATTCTGTCGGGGCTCCTGGCCCTGGGCTCCATCCTAAAAAGGGGGAGTTATAATAAGAGCCTACAAAGAGTTAGGTTTTGGGGATCTTGAGGATAAGCCAAGGGCTTAGGGAGTGCAGGTTGAAGACGAAAGCCCTGCTGCACATGGCGGGCTCCCGAAATGCGGGAACTCGTCGGATACCTATCATCTTTTCAAGTAGGGAACCTCGAAAAGGGCCCAAATCTGCAACTTCTGCTCCGGGCTTAGGTCCCACCTGCACACCCCAACAACCCTTTAATAAAGGGGACTGATATACCCTACTAGGATGCTTGAAGGGTTTAGGGTTTAGGGTTTAGGGGTGCTGGCACATCCTGAGCTTGACCGGCGCCTCGAGGCCGGTGTCAGAGGTGTCTGCGTGGCCCGAGGCCGCCAGCAGCGCCGGAAGGAGCAGCCGATGGAACATCGGGTCTGTGACCTCTGGTTTGGGGTTTAGGGTTTAGGGTTTAGGTTTAGGGTTTAGGGTTTAGGGTTTAGGGTTTAGGGTTTAGGGTTTAGGGTTTAGGGTTTAGGGTTTAGGGTTTAGGGTTTAGGGTTTAGGGTCTGCTGTGCACTAACAACAAGGCGGGTTTCCGAAATTAGGGGTACCTTTCTGGGGTCCTTATTATCAGGGGATCCTACTATTTGGGGGTCTGTTTTAGTGGTCCCCTATTTTCGTAAACCCCCAAATACGTACTGCTTCTTTAGGCTTGATAAGAACAAGCAGGTTTTACAAATAAGGGCGTATACGCGCTAGTTTTGGACACGGACACAAGACAAATAACTCTCCGCATCATGATAGGTACCCAACAAGGGATCCTAGTTTAGAAGAACACCCCCCCCCCCCCAGTAAACGTGTAATTTAGGTGCCAAGGTTGAGGTCCTTTGGGGAGGGCTTCATCCGACACCCTAATTTCCCCACTCTGCACTGAATCCTTGGGTGATTGCTTGAGGCTGCGCTGCTTTGCCATTGTGCTTCAGACAAGGGACAGCTATCGGATAAGGCACGTATGGAATGAGCCAGGCACTTTTGCAGAAGTGCTTGGCTTCAGCTTGAGCTGAATTGCTGCGGACAGCTGTCAGAAAGCCTCGTTCCAAAAAACAACAATGTGGCTAATTACTCCAGCTGGTCAGAAAGACAGCAAAAACACAGAAAGTCTCTCGAAACTAGCCAGGCACAATAAGAAGAACCTTTGCATGAACAACAAGCTTTTCGCAGACAGTCTGCCACTTCCATGTCGATGCTATTATAGCTATTATAACATCTATAACTGGGCCGCCAGACACCAAAACCGAAATCCTAAACCCTAAGCCCTAAACCCTAAACCCTCAACATCTCGAAGCCCAAGAAGCCAAACCACTTCGGGCTGCCTCCTGCGCCTGTTTTTCGTCTCGGATGTGCTGTGCGAGCTCTTGCTTCACCTGCCCGAGGCAGTGTTTAGGGTTTAGGGTTTAGGATTTCGGGTTTAGGGTTACACTTTTTCAGCAGCGGATCAACAAGCCATGCCTCTGAACAGCCCATCTTGTGTCAACCGAGTGGCAGACGCAGTATTAGGATGGCCCTTGCAACCATCTGAAACAACAAAAATCTGAATATGATCCTCTGAAACCCAAACAATGAAAATGTAATATATCCCAAGGGCCCACCCTAAACCCTGAACCCTAAACCCTAAACCCTGAGCATGTGTACCCACCATCCCCTTGGTTCATCGTTGCCTTCAGAAGCTCGCCACCCAAGCGGCTGATCTTCTCCGCATCCTGTTGAAATCATGTGGGGGTTTACGACATTAGGGTTTAGGGTTTAGGGTTCAGGGTTCAGGGTTAGGGCAATTATCCGGGAAGCCTACTATCTAGGGGGTATATTTAGGGTTCCCCATTTTCGTAAACCCCCCCATGTGTCGAAGGTTAAGGATAGATCGTCACTTCTCTAAAACGATGGTCCCTGTTTTGAGGTCCTTAATATAAGGGTAGGGCTTAGGGCTTAGGGCTTAGGGCTTAGGGCTTAGGGCGCTTAGGGCGCTTAGGGCGCTTAGGGCGCTTAGGGCGCTTAGGGCGCTTAGGGCGCTTAGGGCGCTTAGGGCGCTTAGGGCTTAGGGCTTAGGGTTCAGGGTTCAGGGTTGAGGGTTCAGGGTTTAGGGTTTCGGGCGGCCCGTCTTAATACTTAGGGTATCCTAAGAAGGGACCCTAACTTAGAGAGAACTCACCGTATGGGAGATTCTGAGCACTCCCGTCCTCGGCCGACTGCCTCAGCATGTCGCCAACCTTGAAAGCGCAAAAGGCAGAGTTTAGAGTTTAGGGTTTCGGGTTTAGGGTTTAGGTTAAGATGGGGGTTTCCGAAAATGGGGGTACCCTTTTTGCGGGTCCCTTTAAGCGGATTCTATTCTATTTGGGGTCTAGAAGGGGTACCCCCCATTGTCGGAAACCTCCATATGCGCCTCAGCAGATGATCCATACCGTGCCATGCCTTTTATCAGCCCTGAATGATTTAGGAGTTGCCGTTGCAAGATGAGATCGGTGGGGGGGATGGAAAGCCTTCCTAGAGGTTGGGTGGACAGTGGATGACATCCCAACCCCCCTTGCCACCCCCACCCAATCAAGCCCCTCTAACCATGCAAGCTGCCATGCAATTGGGGTAGAGAACCCTTAGCCCTAACCCTAAACCCTAAACCCTACACCCTAAACCCTAAACCCCAAACCCAAACGCTAAACCCTATACCCCACACCCTACACCCGAAACCCTAGAACACCCTGAAGCCAAAAGATCCTTAATTCCTTCTCCCTAAGCCCCACATGGCCTTCAGCCCACGGAAGTCTGAAAGAATCTCCTCTAAGGTAACGAAGAAGAGCTCCTGAGGCAGTGGTCAGAGGGTTTAGGGTTTAGGGTTTAGGGTTTAGGGTTTAGGGTATCTATAGGCGTGTTGGGACGGCAGACTTGTGGCAGTTGTCGAAGCATCCTACCTCTGCCTGTACCCTAAACCCTAAACCCTAAACCCTAAACCCTAAACCCTAAACCCTAAACCCTAAACCCCAAGCCCTAAACCCTAAGCCCTAAACCACAAGCATGAGTCAGCATGAGGCATCGCATTCACATGCCCGAGGCCCTCCCGCGCTGCAGAGTCCAAGGCTGACATCTACGTGCCAAAGAGCCCAGGGAACGAACAAAAATCTCGCGCCTGATGCACGTCTTCGATCATGCTGCGCAGGGTCCGGACCCTGCTTGGGGTTTAGGGTTTAGGGTTTAGGGATTTGGGTTTAGGGTACGTCGCAACTGCCAGGTCGGTGAGTGGGGTGCTTCAACAATGTTTGGTTAATCCAACCTTGCAATGACACCCTAAACCCAAAACCCAAAACCCAAAACACTAACCCTAAACCCTAAACCCGAAGCCCTAAACCCTAAGCCGCGCAAAGAGCCGCAGCCTTTTGTGGAGATTCGATCAGCTCAGCGCTGCACAAGGTGTCAACCTTCACGCGGTCCAAGATGTCGTAGAGCATGTCACGCACATCCTAAGCGGGGTTTAGGGTTTAGGGTTTAGGGTTTAGGGTTTAGGGTTTTTTGGGGTTTAGGGTTTAGGGTTTAGGGTTTGGGGGTGCAGGTGTTCGTCACCATGGTCTTGCTAAGACCAAGTTCTTGAAGAATGGCAAAGACACATGAGATGCAACTACCACATCACATCACATCACATCGCACCTCATCATACCGCATCACACCATCACCATCATCGTCATCAACGTCATCATGATCATGGAAAGGATCATCTACACAAGCACGCTGAGCGAGGCCTGAGAGCCTAGCCATCTTCTGGACGCGGGTATTCATCTGATTCCTGAGCATCGAAAAGCAAGTACACCATGGGTTAAGGCCGCAGAGATACCGGTATCAGCAGATCTTACACGGATCAGATTCTTCATTTCCCTCTATGACGCATACGATTTTTAACACCCGAAGCCCTAAGGAATAGGTTAAGAAGATAGAGACCCCCCCCCCCCAACCCCCAAATCTAGACTCACATGCAGACACACTCGTGTGCCTTCACTCCGGCTAGATCATTCTCGCTCACGAAAAGTTTTGCCATTCTTCACCGCGGGATGGCTGCCGCTGCTCCCACAGAAACGTATACTGCCGACTTGCAACACCCCCTGCAAGCTTTGCAGTAACTGCGTCCCAGACGGGGATTGTAGCGTAGAGGATCTATTCCGGTAGAGCGGTGGGCAAAGCCTATCGTTTCGCTCAACCCCCATCTTGACCTCGGAAGGAGGCACCCGGCGAAAGTCGAAGTACAAACTGCCCTGGCAACCAGGATATCATCTAGCGTGGACAGTCTGGTGTCTGTAAACTGCGGTGTGGTGTGTCTTAGAAAGTTGGAAGGCAGGGCAGCTGCATTTCCGAATTTCCTGCTACACTTCGCCGAGCAGGAAATGGCAAAAAACATGTCATCAGCCGTGTTCTTCTCACGAGCAAACGTTGCACCTCTATCCTAGGCGAGGCTTCTTCGTCTTCTGGAACTTCAAGACGCCCTCTCTCACAAGCTCCTCAAGGTACTGGAAGTCGCCATTCCCTACACCGCGCAGGTGGCCCCAGAGGCGATGTTCGCGCCACTTGCTGGCCGGCAGCACCACGGAGCTCACGCCGGCCAAGAACCTCTACTCCCCCTATTAGAACCTTAAGAAAATATGATTTTCTTAATATCCTCTTGGGGCTTTTATATGAACAAAAGCAAAACCTTAATAAGACTAATATGTTTAATCTCCTCTTGGGTTTTTTATATGAACAAAAGCAAAACCTTAATAAGACTAATGTGTTTAATCTCCTCTTGGGTTTTATATGAACAAAAATATGCAAGAATTCCCCAAGGGGGATCTAGGAACTGGGCCACAGCGCGCACCACAGCCTCGAGCTCCTCGCAGGGCAAGTTTGGCCAGGCTGGGTCGAGGAGGAGCCGGAACACCGATGTGACCACGGTGACACTGTGGAGCTGTGAAGCTCCCTGAGTGGCGCCTCTCTAGGGTTTAGGGTTTATAGGGTTTATAGGGTTTATAGGGTTTATAGGGTTTATAGGGTTTATAGGGTTTATAGGGTTTAGGGTTTAGGGCTTAGGTCTCTGCTGTTCGGAGGGCCTGTGGAGGCTCTGGCGGCCGTGGAGGCCTGGTGTAATGGTCGAGCTTGCATGGCCACCGAGGTTCCGAAGTCGGTGCCCAGTGCTGACGCCAGAACACGCCGACGCTCCTCGGCACTTCCGGCCACCACCGCGCTCGGATCCTCCACAGCTGCAAAGTAGGCATTGATCAAGGTGTGCAACATCGTGTGGGCCGCCGGCACCTCGGCATCGGGGTCAGACACCTTCTGCCTGTCAGATGCATCCGCGGCCCGAGTCAAGACGATGAAGGAAGCATCGAGCTTCTCCACCGCCGACTCTCGGGCACGCACGTTGACTTGGCTGATCTGTTCCGCCCATTCCTTGATCTGATCTTCTGTAACGGGCTTCCTGACAGCCAGCATGTAACCATATTCTGCTTTCTCCACAGAGAACTCGTCACCCTGAGCTTGCCACAGGCCATTTGACAACTGCCCGGCTGTACCACCCAAAGTGGCCATAGCCTTCGCGGTGTCGAGGGTGTAGACCGGCCCGTTCTTCTTCGCCAAGGGAAGCACTTTCCGGAGGAGTGGGTCCACCTGAGCGGAACTCGGCCGAGGTAACCAAAACCGGCTAAGCCCTCAACCCTTCCAAGCACAGCGTGGCAAAAAACGTCATCCGAGGGACACGACTTGGAAATTCAGGGTACTTAGAACCCCTAACTATAACTGTAGCTTATACTTATAAGCCCCCCTAAACCCCAAACCCTTAAAGCCTAAACCCTCAATCCCCAAATGCTAAACCCTACTTGGTTGGTAGCCCGGAATGCCTCGACGAGTTCTGCTGGATCGGTGCGAAAGAAGCGAAGCTTCAGCTTGGTCGGGAAGCTTGACCTACACTGAACTTGGAACCCTAACAAAAATTACAAAAAATTGGCTGTTTCTCAGGAATTATACTACCCAACATTAAAAAATCATTCTCAAGTATCCCTAAGTGACATCAGCGTGAGATGACTCCGGGCATGCCTTGGCTTCGAGGCGCTTGAACGGTGGGTTCAGGGTTTAGGGCTTAGGGTTTAATTAGGGTAAGGCCACTCTACACACCTTAAGCCCAACCCCCCCCCCCCCCCCCCCAAACCCTAAACCCTCAACCCTAAACCCTAAACCCAAACCCTAAACCCTAGCCCTAAACCCCATACCAGACCCCTAAACCCAAAGCTTCCCCAGCCTGCAGAGGTGAGCCAAGACCGAATGCAGCTCCTCGGTCGAGCAGTTCATCTCCTTCGCGGCTTCCTTCTCCTCAAAAGCCAAGCTGTATGGCTGCCACTCACCTGAGTTCGTAAGGCTAGGGTTTAGGGTTTAGGGTTTAGGGTTTAGGGTTTAGGGTTTAGGGTTTAGGGGTTTAGGGGTTTAGGGGTTTAGGGGTTTAGGGGTTTAGGGGTTTAGGGGTTTAGGGGTTTAGGGGTTTAGGGTTTAGGGTTTCGGGTTTCGGGTTTAGGGTCTACGGAGCCTGGTAGCCCAGCAACCATATGAGAATAAGGATACCCCTCTTGGGGTTGGTTACTTTCTAAGGGAAGCGTGTACCAAAAAAACGGGAAAAGGGTACCACTTGCCTACTAAGGGAGGTTCGGGCGGTTTAGGGTTTAGGGCGCAGGGATTATTAGGTTTCTGGGACATTCAAGGTCTATGGAGTTTAGGGGCTACTTAGGAGGTTTAGGGTTCAGGGATTGGGTTTCTGGGACATCCAGAAAGTTCTACAGTGGCCAACTGCATGACAGAGCTTGTAGCAACAGTACCTGCTATGCTAGTGGGGCGCTCGCGGGACCAGAGTCCCAAATGCCGCAACATGGTCTGAACCCAACAATTCAAGTCCCCCAAGCCTCCACATTACATTCAAATGCTTACCCCCAAAAACGACCTTACAAGCCTCCCAAACAGCCCGTGACGCCCGCCTCCACTACACCCTAAGCTTAGGATGATCCCCCTTAGACTAACACTAGAACCCCCGTACTATAATCCTTATTAAGGACTCTTAGTATAAGGGGGAACATCCCAACCCTAAACCCCTCAGGCCTTCGCGGCTCCAGTCGCCCAGTGCAGTCAATGCCTCCTCGCTGAGGATGTGGCGCTTGTACGTCTGAGAGTCGCCTCGTCTGGGTGTGGCTAGGTTTTGGGGTATTTAGTATGTACAGTCGGGCACAGCATTTTGGGAAATCAGGGCTTCGGGAATTTAGGGTTTAGGGTTTTAGGGTGGGGGTAGGGGATAGCCAGGGATTGTATTCAAATTTCGCAAGACGAAGCACCGGCTACAGTTCCCCTCACCAGCTTTGGACGCGGCACCCAGCAAGGCCACCAAGAGGCGTCGAACAACCGCGGCCTGTGTGAACTTGTCACTGAGACAGACATGCAACAGAAACCTTAAATCCTAAACCCTAAACCCTAAACCCTATAAACCTTCAGCAGATTGTTGCCGGTCTGGCATCCAACCGCTTCGCTGCAGGACCGCTCGTGAACGGCAGCTACGACGCAACGAGGTAAACCATTTTAAATCATCTACACATCCGAGAACAGGTCCACTGCACCCGTGGCCGCACCTGAGTGCTCCCACCTGTACCAGCACTTTGCACCCATCGCATGGCTCGAAAGTCCTGCATAGTATGGATGCATGACAAGCATCAACCAAGGCCACACCACCGCCGCCAGTACCACTACTACTACCTGTGGAATCGCAGACTCGGAAGGCCTGAAAACTCGAGAAACTGGTGCCATCCTTGCACTGAAAGTCCTGACGGGCGGCGAGAACCACGCACTTTCCTGGCGCGCCATCTCGTGCGCAACGCCCGGTCTCTTGGATGTAATTCCTGGTGGGCCGCGCAGCAATGACGTGTTTAAATACGTATGAAAAGTGAGCAAAAAGTGAGTAAGAAACATGCTGCTACAGACAGACAGAAAAAGAGAAAGTGAGAGGGAGAGAGAAGCGCACATGTGTGTGTATATATATATATATAAGTATAAGGACAAGTGTATCTATATATGTAAGTATAAGAATAAGTATAAATATAAATCAGGCGTCTGGCGCGTCCCCCCGCCACCAACCAATGGTATGGTCACCACACCATTTGGGGGGGGGGGGGGGGGTAGAGCACCTGATCATATATGTATTTTATAAATAAAAATATAAATAAATATATATATATATGTATGTATAAAATGTCTTTATGTATATATGTGTTTATGACTAAGCACAAATAGGTTGGTTTGGGGCCGTGGCCTAATTCCCTTGCCCAGCGTCTCGATGCTCATCGGCAGCCCGAAGTGCACCACTGTGCCTAGGATCCTTCAAAAACCCTCTGAACAAGCGTTCCGAAAACTAATCCCCTAAACCCTAAAACCCTAAACCCTAAAACCCTAAAACCCTAAACCCTAAACCCTAAACCCTAAACCCTAAACCGCACTAAGGGAAAGTAAAAAACATTCCTTAAGGGCCTACCCAGGTGCGGATGTCCGGCTTGTCCAGGCCCATCCCGAAGGCCACCGTGGCAACCACGACCTTGACCTCCAGGCGCTAAAGCATACAGTAGTCGTTTATCGTTTAGGGTTTAGGGTTTAGGGTTTATACTAATATTCTCATTTTATCGTGTATCAAAATAGGAGTACAAAATGTATTCATCGTATACTAACATAACAGTATTCAAATATAGTAATATATGTAACATAAAGTAAGAAAAGCATTACAACATAATATGTTAAAGAATTGAAATATAGTTATAGTCAGCATCAAGATGAGGGCTCCACTTAAGGAAGGCCTGAGTACGAACCATTTCTTCAGAAGGCATATAACCCTGGCTCGAATGTGCTTGCCTTTTGCATACATGATCTGAGTTCTGAGATACCCCTTCAAAGAGAACATGCTGTTCAACAAGCACCTTGCCCGACATGAAGTTCTCCTGCACCGTGCTGCGCACGTCCGCGAGCATGCTGCCATGGTAAGCGTTGACGCCACCTCTGACATAGGGGCGCAGCTGCTTGGCCAGCTGGTCTGCTGTAGCTCGCCTCCAGACGTAGACGACCACCGACTCACTGGGGCCGACCTCGTTCCGCAGGATGTTTATCAGCTCGCGGACCTGGAACTCGGCATCCGGGACACTGCGCACATCCATGGTGAGGTTGCTGCGCTGCACCGTGGGTTGGGTGGGCTCTTGCATGAGCTCCTCTACTGTGAAGCTCCGGTCGCTGCGAACCACCGTGTCCAAGCGCAGGATGTCGCACACCGACTTCACCGTGGGCCTGGTGGCGGTCGCGGTGAGGGCAAGGACTCGTTTCGCACCTAGGGCTCCGACGACGTACTCATGCAGCCGCAGGTAGTCGGGGCGAAAATTGTGCGACCATTCGGACACGCAGTGGGCCTCGTCGATGCAGGCGAGTGCAATCGGGGGGAGGCCACAACCATCGAAGGACCAGGTGGCCAGCCTGCGACCAGAACATTTCTCAAAGGAAGAGTGCAAGCCTGAACCCTAAACCCTGAACCCTATAAACCCCAAACCCCAGACCCCAAGCCCTAAACCCTAAACCCTAAACCCTAAATCCTAAACCCTAAACCCTCTCATTCACTGCCATGGCCTCTCGGGGGACACGAACAGGACGTCGACCAGGCGGGCTCGCACTGCGCGCATCACCTCTCGACCCGATTCGCGCGTCTGCTGGCCGCTGCATATGGCGCCCCGCCTTTCGCGGGTAGCTTAGGGTTTAGGGTTTAGGGTTTGGGGTTTAGGGTTTGGGGTTTGTGTTTTGGGCTTTGGGGATGCGGGTGGAGGGGGTTTGGGCTTTGGGGTTTGGGGTTTAGGGATGGGGGTGGAGGGGTTTGGCACCGGGGAGGGGCTGTGAACTTTAAGCTGAAGGGTTCTCTTTTGGTACATGGTTCTCTTTTAAAGGTTGGGGGGAGGGGAGTCAGCTAGCGATGTTCGCAAAAACGCGGGACACGGAGTTCTGGAAGGGTCGCAGAGGTGAACGGTTCTTACTACCCAGCGTGCGCAGAATGATTGTGGACAACAGCGCCTGACACTTCACCAGCGTACAATCACAAGCCCACAGGAATTAATAGAACCCAAACATAAGCCCAATATGCTTGGCCAGCTCTTTCGGGAAGGCTGGTCACTCTCAACACCATGGCCCAGTATCTTGCTTACCGCTACGCTGGGTTCGCTACAGCTTGTCTAGCTTTCCGCTATACGAAACTGGCCGTGTTGTCATGTCAATTGCATAGCCATAAAGAATGGCTAGCCCCAAACCCTGAACCCTAAACCACAAATATTCACTCTCCAATCCCTAAACCCTAAACCCTAAACCCTAAACCCTAAACCCTAAACCCTAAGGTTCAGCCAAAGGAGCAAACAACCTGGTAGGCGCACCAGCTGATCGGACATGAGGGAGATCCTTGGTAGCCCAGCAGCGATATTGCGTAGTGAGGGTTATGCTACCCAAACCCTAAACCCTAAACCCTAAACCCCAAACCCTAAGCCCTAAACCCTAAACCCTATCCCCAAACCCCTAACACGAATCATGCCCACGGAGGTTTTGCGGCTTTATGGTTTCGGGCTTTGGGAGCCCAGAACCCCAAAAAGGTCAAAAGGGCGCCACTGGGCTACCAAGGGTCAGGGGCGACACGACAAGCGTGAAGCCCTCCTCGCGTAGCCTTTGGCAGGGGATTCGGCTACTCTAAGCTACTATTTGCTTAAGAACCCCCACCGCCCCCCCCAAAAAAAAGAAAAACATGGTAACCCCGTTATTACCCTTATAAGGAACAGCATTTCTTATTTTATGTGGGGTTCTTAAGCAAACAGTAGTAAGCCCGAAACTGACCAGCTGCTGTGCCCAGGGGCAGATAGGCCGGTAACTGGTAGCAGAGGGATTTTCCAGAGCCGGTTGCCAGGAGCAGCAGGGTGTGATGGCTTGCCAGGACAGAGAGGATCGCCTAGTTCGGCCGAAAGGGCGGAGGGGAAGCCAAAACCGAACAGATGATAGCCCCCCTTGAGGGATTCTTTAAGGTCACCTACCTTTACCCTAAACCCTAAACCCTAAACCCTAAACCCTAAACCCTAAACCCTAAACCCTAAACCCTAAACCCTAAACCCTAAACCCTAAACCCTAAACCCTGACTGCAACCTCACAGGATCAAACCGGATCGGATCCCAAAAGTGTTGGTGCCTCCCGCTGTCCAGGCCGGAAGGCTTCATGGCCGAACACCTGCCAACTAAGGCCCTTGCGCTGCCCTAAACCCTAAACCCTAAACCCCAAACCCCAAACCCTAAACCCTAAACCCTAAACCTATATAACCCCCCTGCTGAAGCCCTTCCTCCTGGAGAACTGCAGTGAGATCTGCCGCAGAGTAAGTTCCAGCCGGACGATCTTTGGATGGCATCCAGTCCGAATGGCTGGCCGTGGTCTCCTCGCCTCATCGAGCTGGAGGAAAGTTGTAGCTTGTAGAAAATGATATTACGATATTGCTCTCTCTCTATATATATACCAATACTGTTATATTCTATATTACTATATGACTATATCACTACATAATAACATGAACTTACGATTCTTTCTTTTTGTTATATTATACTATTGTACTACTATTATACTATTCTACTATTCTACGAGTATACCATCATACAATTATACTAGTATGCTATTATATTAGTACACTGTTTTCCCATTCTACTACTATATTGTTATACTCGCATACTATTATACAGTAGTATATACAGTATTACTATAAGATTATGTACATATAAGAAAGTGTGAATGACAGGCATGATCTTGCTTTCTAGCGCGGCTCCTCTCTCTCTCTATCTGTCTCGCTGTCTTCTACTTCTTTCTAGAGGCCATGGGAGAGGGCTGAATTTCTTCGAGTCCGGGCTTTGCACCTAACACCCAAGCACAGGGTCAGATCTCTCTGACTCGCCCTCCCGCGCTCCTCTCACCGCGAAACAGAACATTAGAAAAGTATAGTAGCATAACAGCGTAATGGCGTAAAAAATATACGAATATATAAACGTGTACCATTTTGGCAGGGCCAGGCAGTCCCTCCACATGCAGGGCTTGCCTCCCCATTTCTTGGCTGCACTTAGGAGGGCAGCTATAAACTAAATTTTTAGCTGCCTTGTTAAGAAACCCAATAAACCCAAAAAGGCTAAGGATCCAAAGTTACAGGAAAGCACTACAGAGATTTCTACAGTCAAGTGGCCTACAGCATCAGGCGGGCGCTCGGCTGCCACATCCTCGGCCGGGTCCTGGATCCATGCAAAGCCCATCACCAAGCAACTCGGAACCCTACTTGGAGGTTCAGGGTACATATAAACCCGGTTAAAAATAGGGGTTATAAGTACCCATGAACCTTAGTAATAGGGGTTATAAGTACCCATGAACCTCCAAGTAGACGCCCTGAATCGATAATCTAGGCCGGCTTTTCGCTGGTGCACGTGCTGGTGAAGGACCAGGCTTTTGCGCTATGTGGGGGCGGCTCAGAGTCAGATGGCTCTCTTGGCCTCTGTTTTGTCGCAGCTTGGTCCTTACGGTATACGAGGTAAGAATAAGGGCCCGACTTAGTATGTATCTGAGTCTGCGCGCGCCTTCTGCAATGGCTTGTTGGAAAGACGGTCTCCTGAACCCTAGCCCGAAACGGTCAGCGGTCCAATCCCAGCTACTGTCTCAACGCAGTACATCGGGATGCACTCGCCGTCCCATTTGCTAAGAGTTTAGGGTTCAGGGTTGGGAAGTTCCCCCCCCTATACTAACAGTCCTTAATTGGTATTCTGCAGTAATAGGGGGGTTCTATCATCCCTATTAAGGACTGCATTATAAGGGGGAACATCACAAGTTTTTTTCGAGCTAGTGGTCCTGTATCGAGGCCAGCAGATCTTCCGTCATTGCGGAGGAGAACGTCCTGACAGCCAATCGGCGACAAACTAGTCGAGCCCATGATTTTAGGACTGCACCCAGGCATGTTCCCCGTAACTCAAAACGGCATCCTTTCTCTTATTAAAGGAGCAACTTAAGCTTACAAGGGTGTTTAGGGCCAAGCTGAAGGTGTGTTAAAGGCTTCTACACTCTAAACTACCACCTTGCTGTTGGTTGATCAATGAGAGAATTCGGGCCCTATATATACCCTTTAAGGGATTATATAGGGTACCTCATTCCCCCATTCCCTACTAGCCAACAGTAAGCCACAGGCTTAAACCCAAACCCTAAACCCTAAACCCTAGACCCTAGACCCTAAACCCTCAAGCCCTAAAGCCCTAAACCCTGAACCCTTTGCCAGCCTCCGCTCCCGTTTGGAGGAGATCTTCAACATCGAGCTGCGCCGCAGCGCGTCGACTTGCTGATGCTGGTGGCGCACCGCCTGCTCACACTTTAGGGTTTAGGGTTTAGGGTTTAGGGTGTACTTGGAGGTTCATGGTACGCAGTAACTAATTATAACTGTAATTACAACTGTACTCATAATCATATTAGGGCACTTAAGGGGCTCATAAGTGGGTGATAAGTACAGTTCTAATTGGTTAATAAGTACCATGAACCTCCAAGCAGAGTCCAGTAGCCCGAAGGGTCCTAAGTACCTACGTAGCAGAAAGTTTATATAATAGGAATTACTATTCTGGTTTGGGTAAGTGTCCCCCATATAGGTACTTAGGACCCTTTGGGTAGCCCTTTGGGTAGGCGTTGAGTACTGAGGAGTGCGCCAGACGATGCTGGACGTAGTCTGCCAGCCTTCTCTTGGCGCCGCGTCACCGGGATCGTCGTCAGGGGCTGAGGCGCGCGTGCCTTAGTAGCCCAGTAACCATATTATAATAACTTTATAAGGGAACCAGAACACAAAAAAAGGGAAAAGGGTACCACTGGGCTCCCAAGGTGCATATTTGGACTTCAGCCTTCACAGGGCTCAGATGCAAGAATATAGGGGCCCTTAATAATTAGAATATGGTTTTGGGGGGCTATGATCGGCATAATTACGTAGGGGGCCATAAGGAAGTTCTGTTAGCAATTCTTCCGACCCCAGTGCCAACCCAGCCTGCCATCTTTGCCGTACATCTGGTTCAGCCGGCGGGAGTTCTGTGTGCCACGTTTGCCTTACAAGAGGCACGGTTGAGCGGCATGTAGCTGACAATGCACATAATCAAACAAGCCATATCTAAAAAAGCATAGATAAAGAGGTCCAACCACTGTAAAGCTTCTACTGAGTACTTCAACTGATAGATATTGTTACAGCCATCAGCGAACATCTGTAGCGGCAGCAGTCATGCAGACAGTTCGAGCGGGCTGCTTGCACCGCCTTTGCCTCTCCGAAGGTCCTGCAAACAGCATGCAAACAACAAATGCGAGCAATACTAAACACTAAACATTGAGGCATGTTGGCTGTAGTGGAGAAGCATGCCATCTTCAACGACTTCACCCTCCTGGCGGACAAAGTTGGCACCAAAGGGGACCTCAGACAGTTTCAAGACTGGGCAGGGTGCTTGAACGTGGTTGATATAGAGGTCGGAATAATTTCTAATGGTACTTAATAGCTGTACCTATAACTGTGTACTTATAACCATATTGGGGCACTTAAGGGGCTTCTAAGTGGGTTATAAGTACAGTCATAATTAGTTACAAAGTGCCATCCCTAAACCCTAAACCCTAAACCCTAAACCCTAAACCCTAAACCCTAAACCCTAAACGACCCCACGATCCTATCCTAATTCTTGAGGCCCGCAAGATCCTGGGCGATCTAAACACTGACGTGCAAGGCCTCAGCTCAATGCGCACAGCGACTACGGGGCTGAATTGCCCCAGCCCCAAAAAAGGGTTTACCTTCTTTCTGTAAGAGGAGGATATACCTATATACACATATATATATATAGCATATATATATATAGAATATATATATATATATAACCAACAAGGTTGAGGTGCACTACCCAGCCCCCTAAGGTGATACCAGCACTTCAGCCATGATCTCTGGGCTCCAGGCTAAGCTGCCCTCACCTCCTGCCACCTCGGCCTTCGATGTCTTCGCCGCTTTCTTCGGGCTGGGGGTTGCGGCTCGTGGCTCGGCCTTCGCCTGCCAGCACAACCCTAAACCCTAAACCCTAAACCCTAAACCCTAAACCCTAAACCCTAAACCCTAAACCCTAAACCCTAAACCCTGAACGTACTGACAACCCCTGACATCGCCGATGCCTTGCTGAGACAGTGCACCAGGAGCACGGCTTATGGAAAGTTGGAAAGTGAATGATTCCGGGCTTCCGGGGGCGCACAGAACTGCCCTCGACATCTGTGCAGACACACCTCAAGGGGTGTAGATCTACAAATCTACAGGCCGCGATAACTCCCTCCGACCCGATTAAGGCCGCCCGATGGGGCATCGAGTCCTTCGCCATCTTCGGTTTCTTCGAGACTTTCGGAGGCCGATGTGGAGATGACCCCCGCTTCGCCATGGCTTCGACTGTGCAAGCTACGTGGGACTTCCTTTAGATACGATGTGACATTGTCAGACAAGGAGCGCTCGTGCAGCTACAGCTGTCTATACTTCATCGGCATGAACTAATGACTGTGGCCATTTCACCTGCAGTTGATATACAGCTTGTCATGAGAAGTCAACCTTTAAGCATGAGTGACTGTTCTTCCTGTGGTTCACGTCGAGCAAGCATCCAGATTGCAGACCACACGAAGAACAGCACGCGCAGAAACAAGCTCCTCTGGGCCTCCGGGGTACACAACAGGATACACCAACTATGCATTACAACGCAGGCACGGCTTCTCTTGTTGCTGCATCCAAGGGTCTCGAGCTGCGTGACTTCGATAGTCAAGATGGCAATCCGCTTCTTCAGCCTTCGAGCATGAAGAATTTGCTTGACGTAGGGTAGGTTTTCCTAAGGGTCCATGTGCCTATATGGTATATAGTTGGGCCGTAAAGCGATGATAGAGGAACCCCTGTAAGGAACCAGTACATACTCACCCACATGGAGCTTTTGGGAAGCATCCTGCCCAGTCTTGAAGCTATCTGAGGCCCAAGTACATACTATGTAAGCACACGGACCCTTTAAGCTTGCGAGAGTTGCTAGTGGAGCTGCCGAGAGGGTAGCGTTCGCTGATCGAACCGCGAGCCATTGAGAAAGCGGCATGGTCAAAATTTGTGCTTCCACTCTTAGCAGGGGGTTGAGGGAATGAGGTAACCAATGGCAATGTTCTACCACCCCCTTCATAGCTGGTCTCAGATCAGTGGGAAGACTCCCAACGCTGTGGGCAACCTCCCCCGGGTTGCCAAAAACACAAAACCAAGAAACTTGGGGGAGATGACCCAGACATACCCAGACTCACCTATTTCACATCTCACAGGTCTGATCGCTACGTGGAGTCCTCAGGGTGGGAATATACTCCCACGCGGAGTCTCCCAAGATTTGTGACAGACCTAGGTGACAAGGAGTAGCAGTTAAGCAGCTCTCTTGGCAAACAAGTAACATGCAGCGGGTCCAAAGAGCATCTCAGATTGCTGTAGCAGCAAACTCTGCAAGCCCATACACTGTATGACGTTAAACCCTAAACCCTAAACCCTAAACCCTAAACCCTAAACCCTAAACCCTAAACCCTAAACCCTAAACCCTATACAGGCCTCAGGTTTTCCACCTGGGCCTCCGTCAGCCTTAGTGGCTGGCGAAATCACGAGCTTTGTTTCAAAGCTTGTAGCACACCTGCCCAGGTATCACATGGGGCCAGTTCTCTACGGTATGGTCTTTCTTTTGGGTTTAGGGTTTAGGGTTTAGGGTTTAGGGTTTAGGGTTTAGGGTTTAGGGTTTAGGGTTTAGGGTTTCGGGTGTAAGAGGGCCCTCTTATAGTATAGCCTATTTGAGATCCGAGTATGTGGTGCTCAAAGGCTCAAAGGCACGGCCACAGCGCTCTGCATCAGTTTGTCCGAGCTTCGCATGCGTTCCCAGGAGACCACATGCTGGTCACAAAAGCAAGGGTTGTCACAACTTATTAAATTCCCCCTGGTTCTTAGCAGAAAAAATGAGGGAATGAGGGCCCTGTATATACCCTTAAAGAGATTAAAAAGGGGGGCCCGACTTCCCTCATCCCCTACTAAGAGCCAGCCAGAATTTCCTGAATTTGGTCGACCCATGGCTGAGCTGTGGGCTTCTTTGTGAGCTTCTCCGTGCGTTGCTTGACCTGGCATCGGGGCCATCTTGGACAGACTGCGCGCGCTTGATCGAACCAAACTCGGCGAAGTGCGCAATTGCGCATGAATGATCATGAACTCGAGTTAGTGATAGTGTTTGTGGATCACGCGCCATCACTCCGCACGCGGGGGGAGACTCACACTTTTAGGCGCGCCGCCTCCATCTCCACCTCCTGGGACGTCTGGCCTTGTGGCTTCAGTGGCTTCATCCCTCAACCCCCCCCCCCTGCCCCCTCCAGTCAACATCTGAGGCTTGCACTTTGAAACGCCGATGGGTCCTTGGCCGATGATGTGCTGAGGCTACAGGATATGCGGCCAATCAGAAGGTACGCAAGAACGAACGGGTGTCCAGGGCTTAGGGTTTAGGGTTTAGGGTTTAGGGCCTAGGGTTTAGGGCTTAGGGTTTAGGGTTTAGGAGTTTAGGGTTTAGGGTTTAGGAGTTTAGGGTTTATGGTTTAGGGTATTCCCTCTTCATGCACGTGTAGATGCCCTACTTCCCCCCGTCTCCCGAAAGCCTAACACCCCAAACCCTACATTGCACCCTAAACCCTGAGCCCTGAACCCTGAACCCTGAATCAGACCCTAAACCCTAAACGCCCTCAACCGTGCAACGGGACAAGAGGAATCTCCCCCCCCCCCCCCAACCCCTCGAGGCGCAGGCAAAGAGCACAGTCGCATCAATCCTTTGCTGTGCAGATGTGCGGATCTTCTGGTCAGGGTTCAGGGTTCAGGGTTCAGGGTTCAGGGTTCAGGGTTCAGGGTTCAGGGTTCAGGGTTTAGGGATTAGGGTTTAGGTTTCGGATTTCGGGTCTCGGGTTTTCGTTCTGTGATTACTATGATAGTTCGGATTCCTACTTTTGGGCGGATGGTTTCTACGGGTCCATGGCATTTATGCGCCGTAGTGGTCTTTGATCCAGGGGACTTACAGACTCAGCACATTGGAGACTCTAATCGTGGGTCCGAGTCTGATGTGAGGGTTGCTGGAACTTATTCTAAGCCTAAATCCACAGCCTTTAGGGTTTAGGGCCATCTCTGCAGGGGAACCAGGATTGCCTTTGCCAGCGCGTCACCACTGATATAGTTGCTGCAGGTGACCTCACAGCCTCTCACCGCAGCCCTAGTCCCTCGAAGCTAGTTCCTAAACCCTCTCAACCCCACGCCCATACGATGTCATCTCTGAGAAATTCCACTGGCCCCAATTCCTGCGGCATGAGCCGAGAACCCCTTGCGGACGTGGTTCGAGTGCTTTCGTCCATCTTTCCTGGCTATGGCCTGCCAAGCTCTCAGACCCTAAACCCAAAACCCTAAACCCTAAAGCCTAAACCCCAAACCCTAAACCCTAAACACCAAACCCGAAACCCGAAACCCGAAACCTTTAGGGTTTGGGGCTTGAGGGTCGCAAGCAGAGCCAAGCGCCGATCCGCCCTGACAGCCCACACAATGCCGAGGCACTAGAAAGTGCGTAAGACAGGGGAAGGTCCGGGGAAGGTTTGAACATATGTTCAGGGCTTAGGGTTTATGGTTTAGAGTTTAGGGTTTTATTTTCTAAATACCCTTAATCCCCTATATAATCTTTATGAAGCCACAAAATTTCAAATTTTGTAGAGCCCCCAAACCTACCCCAGAAGCATCGAGGGCTTAAGCATTCTCGGTGTAACCTAATGTCGCGCTCCATGCCAGGCATGTGCCCTGACATGCACCAACAATGCACCGAAAGCCAACACATGAAATGAGAGCTTCGCGGTGTGCTTCGCTAGCAATATCATAGAAGATATATCAGATAAACTCATAGTTCATGACCATCTAGTCTCATCCAATACAGTCATACAATATCATTTGGGATGTTCCCCCTTGTACTAACAGCCCTCAATCGGGATTATAGTACCCCCCCCCCTCTTCTTTTCATCCTTAATGAGGACTGTTGGTATCAGGGGGAACATCCCAAAATACAACCCAATAGAACACATGTGAAAAGCCCCGACGTTCTCTACCGAACTGGCGCCTACAAACGCCTTCGAGCAAAAACAAAAAAAGGGTTCTTGGGTTGCAAGGACCTGGCACAAGGAGCTCTCAATTCTGGGCGTAGGACTTAGGGTTTTTAGGGTTTAGGGTTTAGGGTTTAGGCGAACCTGCTGATACAGCTGCTCCTTGAGCGTGGTCAGCTCTTTGTAGTACCTGCCAGCCAATGGGGAGTTCTCTTAGCTAGGGTTCCTTGTGGGATCCCTATTTTCAAGGGTGCCGGACTGTATAGGGGACCCAAAGAAGGTAGAATATGTAATTGGAGAAACACCCGCATGAATGTATGTATGACCAACCCCCTTGATCTACCTTCTCTTTTCTAAATTTCGGCTGCCTCATTAAGATTATGCCATCAAATTGATGTGACCAGGTCTGCATTTCAATTAAAGCTCGTCCCGGCTAAAGTTCGATGCAAGAACATCATTCTACATGACAGGCTTGCAAGCCAAGTTAATGTTCTAACTCAGTCTTTACACCATGTTCACCCAAATCGAGATCCACATCCTCCTTGAGCACAGAACAAAGATGTTCCGCGAACTCTTGTTTGACCATGAATGGGTAAGGCTTTGGGCAGGCTCCCAGTTGGTTTTAGTAGGGTTCAAGGCGGTTTCAGGTGAGTTGTAAGAAAGCTTTACATCCACCCCCCCCTGGCCCCACCCACCCTCTTCACCCCTAGCTTGGGAGCGGCCCCTACATGCACGTGCGCATGCATATGTGAAACAGGGTTTATATTACTGTTATTGGTGAGTGTATATAAGGTTCCTTTTAATATTGGTGAGTGTATACACCTGCCAAACCCTAAACCCTAATTAGACCCCAAACCCCAAACCCCAAACCCTAAACCCTAAGGCCTAAAAACCTAAAACCCTGAACCCTAAACCCTAAAAACCTGAAACCCTGAACCCTAAACCCTAAACCCACAGATTGCATGATAAGGGGGGCCCGCAAGCTGAAACCGCGCCAGTTGCACGCAGACCGGCACTTCGACAATGTCGCAACAAGATTGTCGACCTGCACACCCCAAAAAAAACAGGGTTTAGGGTTTAGGGTTTAGGGTTTAGGGTTTAGGGTTTAGGAATTTAGGGTTTAGGGTTTAGGAATTTAGGGTTTAGGGTTTAGGGCTGAGGGGTCCCAGCAGAAAAGTCTTTAGTTGCACAGATGCACTTCACATTGGCACAGAACAAACTGCCGACCTGGGTGCATGTGCTGACTTGGCGCTCCCATCTGGCTCTGTCGGAGGATTCGGGATTGTACTATTTGCTTAAGAACCCCAAAAGAGTAAACAATAATAATCCCCATGTTACCCTTAATAAGGAGGAATATTATATTTTTTGGGGTTCTTAAGCAACTAGTAGGATTCTGGTCGCATTCGTTCGACATCTTCTGACCCTCGAATATGAACACATTAATCCACACTAATGCGTTCGCTTTTCAGAAGAATTTTGCCCTTTGTGCGGCCTTGCGGGTGAGGCAGGAAATGGTGTTGTGCATCGCCTGCCGTTCAAGCAGATCGCTGCTGACCTGAACCCTATAAACCCCAAACCCCCAAACCCTAAACCCTTGGTGGCACACGCTCCTTGTGTTTTCAAGCTGAGATGCCTGTATGCCATCAATGGAGACGCAGATGCGAGGGCGGCGTTCTGCGTAGATAGGGTCGATGAACACAATCTGGCAGGAATGTGTGTGTTGGTTCCCTGAAGCATGGCCGCTGCTCTCGTGGACTTAGGGCAGTGTAGGGGTTGGGGTTTAGGGGTTCAGTGTTGTAGGGCTTTCGGGTCTTTTGGGGGTTTAGGGTTCTTTGAGCTTTGGGAATTTAGGGTTTAGGGTTTTGCGTTGAGGAGATGCGCAGCTCTTATTCCCTGCACCTCTCGCACGGTGCTACCCTTTCCGTCATCGTAGAAGACCTGCACACGTGTGCCGATCCAAGCTTAAAGAGACAAGTGATGAAGACCTAGGCATACCTGCGCGCGCAAACTACCATACCAGCCATCCGATTTCGTCATCCGAATCGTCATCATCTGGTTTTTGTAGTGATATCCCTTTTGTACATGAGTTGCTGAGCCTGTGCATATACGTTTATATAACTATATTTCCATAGAATGAACTTGTTGGAAACAAAAATCTTGCAAAACACGTGCCCTTACACATACTGGCATTATACAAAAAAGCTGCAGTATCTAGTTATAGTGCAAAACATTATCTCATGTTATGGTTACCTGGCGTGCAAGCTAAGCAGTTGCTGCTTTTAATTGTTCAATGTGACGGCCTGTTTTGCTTACAGCAAATACCACCCACGTAGCATATTTCTGGTACAGTAGCCTTTAGTTCGACTTTCTCATTTCCATAAATAAGCCATTGCGTACATCTTCATGTATGGGGCTTTACGATGATAAGGAACCCCTAAACAAGCCCAAATCGTAGGATACCCTTGTAAAAAGGACCCCAATAAGGCACCCATAATTTCGGAACGCTCCATATACAGATATTTGGCATGAACCTTTTAAACTTTTTACCCGATTTACATACAGCCCAGCCTTTGCTCGGGGCATGCATCGATTTGCAAAGATTCATCAATTTATTCATCTTTCCTTTTGAGATGGTCATTTTCGAGGTCGAAATAATTCTAAACCCTAGACCCTAGACCCTAGACCCTAGACCCTAGACCCTAAACCCTAAACCCTAAACCCTAAACCCGAAACCCTAAACCCTACAGAAGTTTGTAAAAATCCGGCAAAAGCGCTAAGGATACCGCCTCCAGAGCCTCCGGCTCATCGAAGTCATCAGTCTGGAGCCGGTAGACGTCCTCTCCGAGTGAAGGCCGCGTGCTTGGAGCTTAAGTAGGCCTTGTTCTGAAGCTAGGGTTTAGGGTTTAGGGTTTAGGGTTTCGGGTTTAGGGTTTAGGGTTTAGGGCCGTTTAGGGTTGAGCGCTCTGGTGCGGATCAGTGACCGCGTGCCAATCCTCACAGCTTCAGCAGTTTTTTTCTCACGTCAGCAGTCTTGTTCCCAGTGGAGTCGCTTCCGAACGCTTCCCCTTACCATAGGCTGGTCATAGTCGTAGTCATTTCAGACTGCGAGTTGCCATCGCAGGTCGATGCCATCGACATCTGGTGGGTTGTTCTATCCAGGGCCTCCTTGAAGGTGACTTCTGTGAACCCCCAAAAGGGATTGAAAGGGGACCTCATCAAGAACAACCCCCCCATGTGGTCATAGTAAAGGGCCATGCGGCCAAGCACAAGTCAGCCTGCGACGCCCATACTTTGCATTGGAAAGCAGGGCTTCTCCAGGCCTCCAGTCTTTTTGACCACGAACATGCGAGCAAGGCGTCTACTGAGGAGTTCAGTTCAACAACTACGACACTTCTATACAACGCAAGACGCTGGAAAGTGTGTCCTGCTTCTGAGCCCTACCTTGCCTAGTGGTCAGCCTGGATGCCCGAAATGCCGCAAGGCCGGCCTTTCGAGTGCTTCCAGCTTCTCTCAGGATCAAGACGCTCCGCGCCTTAACAGATTCGAAAAGGTACCAACTCGAAAGGACACACCGCATAATTTTGCAGAAAGCATGCCCACCGCAGCCCGTTGCAGCATTAGCGGGCATGCTTTCTGTAAGCATTGAGTAGGTGTCCGCCGCTGTGATACGGAAGTAGCCAGGTACGACCAACACATTGGGAAGGTGCAGTGCTGGCAGAGAGACGTGCGTGAAGCTTCGCGGTGCATTGTATTGCCAAGACCCTTCTGTCATGAGCTGCTTCAGACTCCAGTTCCCTTCTTGACTCAGTAAAAGATGCTAGGGCATCCACACACGTGTGACGTCCATGGTTGTTTATATTAGTATCATGTCCCAAAGGGTCCATAGGGTTTCTATTATAGGAATTACTATCCTGGTTTGGGTAAGTGTCCCCGTATAGGTACGTAGGACCCTGTGGGTGTATGGATTTGTATGACCTGCTGTCCCAGGTTACCTGTCGCAACCGAACGCATTGGAAGGGTTCGACTCCGGCAGGAAGGGCGCGCGTGGAACTCGCTTGTACGTCAAATGATTCGGCTAGACCTATGGAATGCCTTTCTGCAAAGTACCAGCGGAACCACCGTGCGACTTGTGATTTTCAAACCTTCCGGAACGTGGTGAAGGTTCACCGCCGGCAGGAAGTGAGTTTGGAACTCGCACACAAGTGACTGGACCCGTCAGAAGTTCCTCACAATATCATGTATGAACAACAGTTCTGTGGCTGCGTTGCTGCAGACTCGTTTACAATCATTTTCAAGCAGCTGCAGCATCCAGACACCAGAAGCACAGCTTGTGAACAACCGGTCGCTGCCAACGCATGGGGAAGGCTCGGCGCCAGTAAAAGGCGCCTGTGGAACATCATACCATGTACTATAAGATACTATGACATTATAACATATTATGACATGTCGTTTTCGGGCCCTGCGGCCACTAGTTCCACGGGCGCATGCACGTCAGGCCAGATGGAGACAGTAGACCCATCCCCCCGTGGCCTAGGAAAGAGAGAAGACGAGAAACGCAACAAGAACACTAGAATTGTGGGAGGCAGCCTTTCTTGGCTAACTCCAGAGTTCCAAGGGAACTGACCGCCGCAACGAACGGAATCCAGCTGCCATGGAGGCTTGAAACATATGCTGCCCGCCAAAGGCCCTCACGGTGCTGTGCCAATGTGGCTGATCCATGGCACTTGCAACGCGTGGGCTGACAACTCAGCTGGGCTTTGAAGGGGCACTATGCAATCTTGCGGGTGGCCTGTGAACTCATGAGCCATGCTCAAGCAGACTCCTGTAGACTCGTGCTCAACATCTTTCAGGGTCTCAGCCTACTTTCATGGCTCCCCCATACCGCTGTCCGAGACATGTCCCCAGAGAGCCCAATACCCCTTAGCTAAGGAATCTACCTTAAATCGTATTAGGATCCCTATGATGACTTTCGGGTATTTTCCTCAATTCGGGGGTATTGGGCTCTTTGGGTCACGCTTGTGCCCCTAAACCCTAAACCCTAAACCCTAAACCCTAAACCCTAAACCCTAAACCCTAAACCCTAAACCCTAAACCCTAAACCCTAAACCCTAAACCCTAAACCCTAAACCCTAAACCCTAAACCCTAAACCCTAACGCCGACTCCCGAGTCCACCGGCGGGGCCTCAAAGCCTTCAAGGAAGTGGGGGGAAGCTTCCGCGCTCCCGTTGCCACAAAGCCTAAAGGAGCCCTAAACCCTAAACCCTAAACCCTAAACCCTAAACCCTGAACCCTGAGCCCTGATCACGAAGATGGGCAAGGCCGGCAAGGCCCGAATTTGTGCAAGCTGCCCGACGGTAGGTTCGGCCCCGCGATCCAAAATCGCCCGAAGGAAGGCACGTTATGCCCGACACGCTTTAATCAGGAGTCGCCTCCCTTACAGAAGAGATGTAGGGTTTAGGGTTTAGGGTTTAGGGTTTAGGGTTTTAGAGTTTTGGGTTTAGGGTTTAGGGATTTAGGGTTTAGGTTTCTATCAGGGCTTGCACTACTTACACATGCTGACACTTCTTTTCAAGGCGCCCAATTTCATCCAATATCGTGAAGATTCATGCCGAAGAGTTGTCTACCTACTACCGTAAGCTTTGTGTCGGCAAGCAAGCTGTAAGGAACGTAAGGAACATTCAGAAAACCAATGGGCGCGTGCTGACTGAACATCACGTGCCCCCTGCGCTGTATATAGCTTGTTCCACCAAGCCGGCATGGCAGCGTTGGGGGCTGCACTGGTCGCGACAAAATCATGCAGATGAGGCGTGCTTTCGTTTGAGACATGCTCTGGACTGGCCTGTCCGTGGCATGGGCATGGAAGAGGCCAGACTGTGGCATGAAAAACTACAAGCTTCATTGGAGATTTTGCTCACAGAGCCCGCTTTTCAAGACAGAGGCTTTGGTTTTGGGGAGTAAGGCCTATGATTGTGCTTGTCCATGTTATGAAACGGAATACCTGTTTAAACCAACTCAATCGTCCGTTTAGAGGTTGAAGACGTTGTATCTCTCTGAGCGCGCTTTGGATCACATGAGGTAGGGGATTGCTTCATCCCCTACTGGGCCCGAAAAGATGGAAATGGCCTTCAAGGAAATGCGCATCTTAAAAGTGCGTGGCATTCTAGACCCGGGAGTAACCCAGGAATAAACAGGGCACCCTTTTCGGTTCTAAGGGGATGATAAGGGAACCCCAACCCCCAAAAAAAGCAAAAAAGGGCCTACTCCCGGTCCTAGTGTTTGTGTGCAGAGCTCAAGCTGGAGCACTGCAAATACCGCATGCTTGCTCCTCTGGCTTCACCTTAGCACCGCCGGACATGTTCAGGGTTTAAGATCCTAGGGTTTAGGGTTTAGGGTTTGGGGTTTAGGGTTTAGGGTTTAGGGATCGAACACCCCACTGACATGGAATCCATGGCCACATGCTTTGCAGAAGAGGAACAGCAGATCCGCAACACTCGCATCGGAAACCCAAGCATGGCTTGTAAGCCTGACGGGTTCCAGCGCTGATCAGAGGCAATGCTGGGAGTCTAGCCCTAAACCCTAAACCCTAAACCCTAAACTCTAAACCCTAAACCCTAAACCCAAACCCAAAACCCCAAAACATAGCAGGACGTGGTTCAGTTGATGCTCCAGAGAAGTTTCCTGTGGCCTGCTCGCTGCAAAGCTGTCCGGAACCGCAAACCCTAAACCCTAAACCCTAAACCCTAACCCCTAAACCCTAGACCCTAGACCCTAGACCCTAGACCCTAGACCCTAAACCCTAAACCCTAAACCCAAACCCTTTTAGGGCTTAGGATGGCTTAGGGCTAAGGACGGCTTGGCCTGAAAGGATGGCTGATAGTTTAGGGTTTAAGTAGGGTTTAGGGTTTAGGGTTGAGGGTTTAGGGTTTAGGGTTTAGGGTTTAGGGTTTTGGAACAACCAGGGCTTAGCTTAGCTTAGCCTGCCACTGGTTCAGGGTACCTTGCCTGGCGAATCGGCTCGGCATCGTCACTCTGCAGCCACTCGTGCAGCTGCGTGAGTGCCTCGAAAGCCTCGGAGGCCCGCTGATGATGGTTTAGGATTTCTCATGGGTTCCCCTCCTCCCCCATACTTGGAGGTTCATGGTACTTACTAACCAATTATAACTGTACTTATGTACTTATAACCCTACTTATAATACCCCTAAAGGGCCTTATAGGGGTTATCCCACCTATAAGTAGGGTTATAAGCCCAGTTATAATTGGTTAGTAAGTACCATGAAGCTCCAAGTACTACCCCCCAGGTTCGCACCACAATCAAGGCCACCCAGCACCCAGGGATAACCAAGCTTAGTTAAGGTTATTGAAGGGGGGAACCTACGAAGGGTAGAATAGACGGGGGTAGCAGGTGAAATCATGAGTTTAGGGTTCGTCGGGGTGGCGGGCCTTTGGGGGGACTCTTGCTTGAGGAGAACAGTTGGTGGGCAACTCTCGTTAAATGGGGACTTAGAATATTCGGGGTACCTGATTGGGTCGGGGTATCCTACTATTTGGGGATCCATATTGGGGACCCCCTATTTCGTAAACCCCCAAACCTGTCCTCTCTCTCTCACGAAGAACGTCACGGTCCGCCAGGCATTGCGCATGTATTACAGCCCCGAAGGGCAGCCACGCGCGCTGCCTCTAAGGCCTAAGCGCCAAACCATCCGTCCCTGGTTGAAAGGTAACTGGAAGAGCGTTCGCAGTTCTGACCACTCCCAAGCCCCCCCATGCCTCTGAATTCGCTCTCGAGAACCTTTCATTTTTGTCGGGTAAACCCTAAACCCTAAACCCTAAACCCTAAACCCTAAACCCTAAACCCTAAACCCTAAACCCTAAACCCTAAACCCTAAACCCTAAACCCTAAACCATCCCCAGCCCCACACCCAGATGCTGATTTTTCACCTCCAGATTTACCACTTTACAGACAAGTCGCTCAGACTGTTGGGGCTTAATGAGCTTTGAACTCTGCAGCCTGAGCCCTGTTAGGGTTTAGGGTTTAGGGTTTAGGGTTTAGGGTTTAGGGTTTAGGGTTTAGGGTTTAGGGTTTAGGGTTTAGGGTTTAGGGTTTAGGGTTTGGGGTTCAGGGTTTAGGGTTTAGGGTTTCGGGTCTGGGGCATAGGGCCTGCAGTACGTTACAGTACAGTCGAAGGTCGTCGGGAACGAAGTTCCGTTCTTCTCATGGAGTTTGGGCAACACGATGCAGATAAGCAAAAGTTTCGAAACATATCCTCTCTCTCACACACACAACAAAAACAGATGTGTACAGTTCCATAACAATCTGCGTAGGCATAATGCAGATACATGTATCGCCCTGTTGATCGACATGCCCTAAACCCTAAACCCTAAACCCTAAACCCTAAAGCAAAAACCCCAACCCGCGTCTGTCCGAGGTGCATTGTCCCAAGTGTGGTTCTTGGCCCCAAGTGGCACTCGGGGAAGGAGCTCGTGCCTTCTAAACTCACTTTCCTTTTCCTGAAAAGCCCTAACCTCTAATCCTCTACCTGGAACTCCATTTGCCTACTGCTTTGGGGGAAATACGCCCTGTGCTTAGGGGGTTATGACCTCGTAATTTCTAGGGTTTGGGAGTCATCCTGATCTTCTGGCATGCGATAAGTTTGCTGCGGGAAAGTTGTGGTCTCAGCGGTGCTTCGGGGTGAAGAATTCTGGGCTGGAAGATGGTCGTAGTCCACACTTGTCATCGCAGATCCCAGGCTACAGACTGAGAACCCGAAATTGACCTCCACACTGTCCGATCTTGTGTCAAACTCCTTGCTCTCTGCGTGCATCTACTGGTGATTAGCGGCGAGCGCTGATCTAAAGCGCCAACATTCTACATATTCATCAACATCATCATCATCATCATCATCATCATTTTTATGATGATTATTATTGTCACCATCATCATCATTACCATCACCACCATCATCATCATCACCATCACCATCATCGTAGACTCAGGTCATGGGCGAGCTTGACCTCGACTCTTTCTGCTCGAGATGCGAGTTCGAAGCAGCGGCTTCCCAGTTCGCTGTGGATGTAGGGTTCAGGTTGGGATGTTCCCCCCTATACAAACAGTCCTTAATCCTTAATAGGGGATAGAAGAGGGGGTACTATAATCCTGACTCAGGGGTAGGGTTTAGGGTATGTTTTTTTTTTCTCAGGGGCTGACGGTCTTAGAGGGTTTAGGGCTTGAGGGTGTTGAGTGCAAGCCAACAAAAAACGACATGTTTGCAGAACTCTTCAGGATCGAGAGCTGTGACCTCAACCCTAAACTAGAATCCGAAGAACCTAATGTAGGGGCCTTTGTAATTCGAGTAGGGATTTGGGGGTTGTTGTCATAGAGTTATATAGGGGGCCATAAAGGAATACCATATTTGCTCCGACCCTGTTTTAAACCTAAAAGGAACAAACCATGAAAAGCCTTGACCAACCCGGAAAACCATGCAACCCTGAAGCAAGAACGTATATGCAGCTTGAGGATCGCGACAAGCCTGCCCAAGTACGCAAGCCACTTCCTTCACAAAACAGAGACTTCTCATGCCATCCCATAGCCCTCGTGAGCTAGGCTTTTTGTCCTAGTTGCTGAGTGCCCTGGCCCAGAAAAGGTTAACCTGCCAATTATGGTAAGATTGTACATGGCCCAAATGGTTAGAGGTTAGCGGTTATCATCTGCTCTGCTACTAAGTTACTAAGTTGTTCTTGCTAGTACACCCCCTAAACCCCAAAAAACAATAAAAGGATCTAGTTCCCCGGGCCCTGCCCCCTCTCACCCCCCATGGTATCCCCTTCCCCAAAACCCAAAACAGCCCGAAATCCCCAAACCCTCATGAAACCCTAAACCCCACAACCGCACCACAGGGGGAGGAAAGAGGAAGGGGGAGGAGAAGGGGGGTGGGGGCCGGGACTCTACTAAAACCCGAAAACCTGCGTGTGGATGGGAAGAGGGATGCCATGAGGGTGGGGGGGGGGGGGGGGTCCGGGGGGGGAAGGGGGGCCAACCCTGAATCTTACATGCCCCTATATATACATATATGTATTTGTATACATTATCTATCTCTAAGTACATGTATATATATATATATGTATATATATGTATATACTTCTGTTTGTATTTATGTTTATGTCTATATTGATATATATATATATACACACTTACATTTTTCTATATTTATATATACAGATTGATATTGATATTCATATTGATATTGATATTTATATGTGTAGGCATATTCATATTCATATTCATATGCTCACCAAGAAGAAGCAACATAAAGACTGCTTCATGTCTGACCCATGCTGCCAGACTACCATACCCGAAATTGCAGCCTTAGATTCGATAAGAGCGCATGAGAGAAGCACAAGGACTGGCGCAACAAGGACTAACATTCAGTGGCTCACCGGGTGCAAACAGAAGGAGATTAGGTTTATGGTTTAGGGTTTAGGGCTTAAGGGGAAAGCCCTTGGGACGTAAATTACTCACATTGCTTTCCAAGAGGCGGCTTGTCTGTACAGACCTCTTCGTTGATACAGGCAAGCCGTCTCATCCTTGTCATGAGGCAGCGGCAGGAAAGTTGCGGACCCTGGCCCACTCCGCGAGCTCCGATTGATTGATGATGGAAGTAGCATTCGGCCAACTACCGAAACTTCTTCGACCCTGGAAACTCTAAACCCTAAACCCTAAACCCTCAACCACGGACCCACAAGCAGTTTCTTGGTGACCTGGTGCTCGTCAGATCCGGGGCTGATAAAACTCCCTGTGTTCGCTGAGCGTTGCGCAACATGCCTTGTGGGCCGCTATCGATGTCTTAGGATAAGAAGCACCCCGTACAAATACAGGCTGTCTTCGATTATAGGGGTATGGCAGTAGAGTGGGCCTCGGTCCATCGCTTGGCAAGGCAAAGTACTATCGTCAAAATTGGATCCACACGAGTTCTGTCCGATGTCTGCTGCTTTGCCACTCACACCTCTCATGAATTTGCGACTTCTAAACCCTAAACCCTAAACCCAAAACGCTAAACCCCTAAACCCTAAACGCTAAACCCCTTCTTTGCCAAGCCACTTCATCCCAGATCGGAGCATGCGGAGGTGGATGTCGCTGTTAATCAGCTGGATGGGGCGCGGGGGTGGCATCTCCTGCATGTCTTGGGCTTCGGATTCCAGGATCTACCTTGTGACCTCGCGAAGGAGGCAGAACTGAGAAAAAAGGCTGGGCACGACCCTAAACCCTAAACCCTAAACCCTAAACCTTAAACCCTAAACCCTAAACCCCAAACCCCAAATCGTGAACCGAATGGTCCTTGACATTGGGCATCTCGGGCCTGGCGTTTGTGTCATCTGCTGGCTCCCCTTGCTCCTGCAGACATGTGGGGGCTTCCGAAATTAGAATACCTTCCTGGGGTCCCTATCATAAGGGAATCCTACTATTTGGGGGTCTGTTTTAGGGGTCCCTAATTTTCGTAAACTCCCACCTAAACCCTAAACCCTAAACCCTAAACCCTAAACCCTGAACCCTAAATCCTAAACCCTAAACCCGAAACCCTGAACTAAGGGCGTCCTACAGCTTGGGGTCCCTTCTTTGCGTAAACGCCCCATTGTCACGACCGCGATGCTGCCAAAGGAACAACTGGACAGCCGCGTCTGCCCGAAACCCTAAACCCTAAACCCTAAACCCGAAACCCTAAACCCTAAACCCTAATCCTCGTTGCTGAGATCTTGCTCATCCAGGGAGTCATCCGAAAACTCGCCGTCATCATCTCCTCGGGCACCCCCCCCCCACCCCCCCCAGGAGAAGACTCATCGACAAAAGAACTGTGAAGGAAGCCTGCGGACGTGTCAGCTATAGGGTTTAGGGTTTAGGGTTTCGGGTTTTCTGCCTGAAGCTTGACCGAGTCTCCACTGTCGGTACTCGAGGTTTCATCGGAGCTGGAGTCCACGTCTGCATGCAAGACGCGTGCGAATGTCCATGCATGTGTTTAGGGTTTAGGGTTTAGGGTTTAGGGTTTAGGGTTTAGGGTTTAGGGTTTAGGGTTTAGGGTTTAGGGTTTAGGGTTTAGGGTTTAGGGTTTAGGGTTTAGGGCAACGAGACATGCAGTGTAGAATCCGCGAAACTGTTCTTCAGCTACCTGACTTCGAGCTAGCATTACCTACGGCCGCTGCTGTCACAGCTACAAATGCGCCAACAACCCTTAAAGCCTATGCTTCAGCATGAAACTTAGGGGTATAAGTATGGTAGCTTTAGTCAAAAGCTTGTTCAAGCTACTTCCACCTCCCACCCAAGCAGAACGCAACCCTAAACCCTAAACCCCAAACCCTAAACGAACCTAAACCCTAGTCCCTAGTCCCTAGCCCCTAGCCCCTACCTAGCCCCTAGCCCCTAGTCCCTAGTCCTTAAACCCTAAACCCTAAACCCCAAACCCTAAACCCTAAACCCAATCGACCTTTTCCAGATTCGCAGCAGACGTCCAGCTCAGCCGTCTCCGGTGAGGTGCCCTCCGGGCTGCACTCCGTCAACCTCAGGGCAGGGTTTGGGGTTTGGGGTTTGGGGTTTAGGGTTTAGGGCTTAGGGTTTAGGGTTTAGGGTTTAGGGGCTTAGGGGCTTAGGGGTTTAGGGGTTGAGGGTACAGGGCTTTGAGTTTTCTAAGGATTTCTTTAGGTTGTTTATTTCATGTGTCTTTATAGGGTTTTTAAAGTGTTTTTTAGTGATTTTGAGGGTTTTTGAGGTTCTGCTTTTTTCTTTTGTTAAGGGTATCTGTTTTTATTTAGGTTTCTCTTTCGGGCTTTTTGCAGGGTTCGTCTTGGGCTTTTGGGTTTTTTTTCTGTAGTTTTGGGGTTTCTTTGCTTAAGCTTGTTCCTAGAAACTCTTTTAGGGCTTATCGAGTTTGTAGGCTTTTGTGGGTTACTTGAGTGTATGATTAGCATTACTATTCTTATTCTTGTTCATATTATGTATCTATACATGTATATATACCTTTTAGGATTTTTGCACGGTGTTCATAGGGTTTTAGTTTTGCTCTAGCGTTATGGTTTCTTTTTAAGGGGTTCTGATAGGGTTTGTAGGTTTGTTTTAAGTTTGTTTTGTTTAATGTTCTTCTTTGTCTTTATAGGGTATTTGGGCTTCTTTAAGTTTTGCTTTTCTGACAAGGGTTTTTAAGGCTCTTTTTGGGTGAGCCTGTCTTAATCGGATTTTACTAGGATTCTTATAGGGTTTTTAGGCTTCTTTTTCAGGGTCAGGGTTTCATTTAGTGCGTTTAGGTTTGTGTTAGTTTGTTGTGTGGTATTGGTTGTTTTGGGTTTTTGTAGGGTGCTTAGGTTTCTTCAAGGATTTCTCCTAATTTTAAACTTACTTCTGTGGGGGGGGGAATCTTTGTTTTAACAGGCTTTTCATATGGCTTTTGTAGTTGTTGTTTAGGGTGTCCTTTTTAGGGCTTTTAATGGGCAGTTATAGGGTTTTATAGTGTTTTAGTTTGTGATTTGAGGGGTTCTTTTGATTGTTTGTTCAAGATAATTGTTTAGGGATTTGTTATAGGACTTTTTGGGCTTTTTGGTTTTGAAAGGCTTCCCTTATGTGGGTTTTTGACGGGTATGTAGGGTTTACCAGGGGTTGGGGCTTAGGGCTTCGAGGGCTTATAGGGTCTAGGGTTCAAGGTTTGCAGGGTTTATAGCTCTAAACCTAAACCCTAAACCTTGGGATGTTGCCCATTATACTAACAGTCCTGAATAGGGATTACAGTATCCCCTAATCCCTATCAAGGACTGCTAGTATAAGGGGAACATCCCCACCAAGCCCCAAACCCTAAACCCTATCCCATTCCCTAAGGGGGAACATCTCAACCTAAACCCTGTAAGGGTCTGCATGAGATCCTGCAGGATCCCCCCCGTCGCATTGGGTGGAGTGGCCCATCGTTCAGGGTTTAGGGTTTAGGGTTTAGGGTTTGGGGGTTTAGGGTTTGGGGTTTGGGGGTTTGGGGTTTGGAGTTTGGGTGTTGGGGTTTTTGGTTTTTAGCGCTTTTAGGATTTCGGGTACCATCTCGGGTTGAGAGAGCTAAGCCTCCGTGCGGAGGGCTGATTCGTGCATCTAGGATCCAGGATATTTGTTTGGAGATTTCGGGGCTAGGACATACCTTGAGGACCCAAAACTTACCTTCTTGTGCGTGGAGGATGACTACGAAACCCTTTCAGGATTCTTATTTAGGTAACCACCATGAAAAAGTAGGTTTCGGGTCCTTTTAAGGTAGCAAATTTTCAAGGGAGTTGTCACATTTATTCTAACAGTCCTTGATGGGGATTATCATGGGGTACATTATAATCGGGGTACTATCATCCCTAAACCCTAAACCCTAAACCCTAAACCGCAAGTCCATCCCCGCAGCCCGAAAAGTGACCCAAGTGGCAGCTTTTCGGAGTTCACAGGACCGGCGGGGCTGCTCAAGACAAAGGCCTTGCGTGGAACTAGGGATTATATATGTATATGTATACATGTGTATACATATATATATATATGTGTGTGTACATATATGTATATGTGTACATATATGTACATAAACGCCATACATACTCATGTACATGAGTTGAAGAGGGCTTAGGGTTTGGGGTGTGAGGTTTCAGGGTCTAGGGTGTGTCGCGCACAAGCTCTGAAGATCAAGAGGTCAGAATGTACTTCGGGCGCAATGCTTCATTTCCGGCGTGCATGCTAACCCTAAACCCTAAACCCTAAACCCTAAACCCTAAACCCTAAACCCTAAACCCTAAACCCTAAACCGAGTTAGTTCGGGCCCACTGGCTTGTGGCAGCTTAAAATTCAGGCTCCCATCGTCTGGGTTTAGCCAAGGCACGCGCAGGTCGGTGCAGAGACCAACCTGTACAAGTCAAGGTTAAGGGTTTAGGGTTGAGGGTTTGGGGATTAGGGTTTAGGGCACTTTTACGGTTGAGCGTTCAGGGCTGATTCATGCATGGTGATTGGCTCCCTTGCGTGCATGCTGGCAGTTGTTGGCGACAGCATCTGCAAATCTGCAAACGCGGGCAGCAGTCTCCTCACTTAACAGCCCCCCACCCAAACTATCAATCAACCGAAGAATCTCAGATATACGTAATATAGGGGTCGGAATAATTACTCATAATCTTCCCTCAGCGTCCCCTAATAAATATGCCATAATAACCCCCAAAACCCTATTCTGATTATTCAGCCCCCTACATTACTCTGAGCTCCGTGCGGATGCTGCCGCAAGGATACCCTTCAAAAGGAGGACGGAGGGAGAGCAAGCTGCAGACCTGGAGACAGGGTTCAGGGTTCAGGGTTTAGGGTTTAGGGTTTAGGGTCTGCTAAGGCTTTCGAGCCCTTTAGGCTCCTTCTTGGGGGGTTTTGGGGGCCGGCCCCCAGTGACCCAAGACCCTAAACCCTGATGATTCTTCTTCTTTCTAGAAATGCGATGTTTATGAAAAGTGTTTAGGGTTTAGGGTTTAGGGTTTGGGATTTAGGGTTTAGGGTCTATCATTCGTATACTGTTGCTACGATGATTTCTATGTTTACGATTCCCGAGCAAACCCCCAACGCTACACATCAGGGACCGATGCCGCAAAGTTGCCAGGCATCGACGAAGTACAATGCCTCAGATCCGTGCAGTGTTCCCTTAGTTGTCCAGTAACCTGGGGGAACTAAAGGCTAACCTTTGGGATTATTGGGGGATTGTATTACCCCAGAAAGGTGAAAGGTTACCTACTCTACTACTAGGTTCCAGTCAAGGTTTAGAAGTTTAGGATTTAGGCTGTTTCTCTTGAGTTTCTTCTTGTACAAAGCGTCCTATTCCAAGGAGGTACCTGTGTCCCTGGTTTTTGAACAAGCGCAGAGAAGTGTGGTACTCTACTCGGGTGGGCTTGGGGAGGAACCTGCATTTTGAAGAAGTTGAGGGGCCGGGGCTGGGGCTGGCTGAACAGGAAGCACATCCGAGATGGTTTAGGGTTTAGGGTTTAGGGTTTAGGGTTTAGGGTTTAGGGTTTAGGGTTTAGGGTTTAGGTGCAAGGAACTGCACATCTGCTTAGGGCAATGGCGGCTTTTGCTGCTCAATCGAAGCGGCATACATGCGCGAGGCAATGAGGGCCAGCATGAAGAGCTCGCCCCAGTGAAAAAGCGCCTGAAGCTGATTCACTGCACTACGAAACTAGCAGCGCCCGAGCCGTTGCAGGGATGGTGCAAACTGTCACCTAGTAGTAGGGTAGGTAACCTTTAACCTTTCTGGGGTAATATAATCCCCTTATAATCCCCAAAGGTTCACCTTTAGTTCCCCCAGGTTACTGGACAACTAAGGTCATGTTGGCCAAAACCGCCTGCACTTCGGGTGTGGCATCGCACACTGAACGTGCCCTGCGGCACTGCGCGATGTAAGAACGCATGGTGACCTTGGCTCACGGTGAGTCTCCGCTGTAGAACCCTTCGTCCCCATCAAAAATTGGGCAGCCCTCAACTTCTGCCAAGAAGCGAGAGCACACAAGGTAACCTAAGTCCAGGGATGCAGCTGGGTCTCACTGGGCATCACTGGGCATCTGCAACTCAACCTCCCCCCTAAACCCTAAACCCTAAACCCTAAACCCTAAACCCTAAACCCTAAACCCTAAACCCTAAACCCTAAACCCTAAACCCTGAACCCTGAACCCTGAACCCTGAAACCCTAAACCCTAAACCCACTAGCTTTGCAGGTTGAGGATAGACTGCCGGGCTGCGAAGTCAAGTGCCGTCGTGACTCCACCCGCCATTGCCTTCCAGGGGACGCGCTATTTTAGGCCCTATGATCTCCATAATCAACCCTACAAAGGGCCTTTTTATAAGGGGGGTTACAGGGTATGATAGCCCGTCCTGGTTGCTATGGGCCACGTAAGCAGCGAGCGGTAGAAACGTGGTAGTGCTGCTTTCTGCGGGCCCGGAAAGCGGGTTCACCTGACATGTCTCCTTAAGGACCCATTGCCTGCTTTGGCTTGTGCGGAAGGACTCCGAAGACCCTATACTAGCACTATAATTACCCTAAATCCCCTAAAACTGGGGGGAAGACCCTATACTAGCACTATAATTACCCTAAATCCCCTAAAACTGGGGGGGGGGGGGGGGGATTTGGGGGCCCTATAAACATTCAAATTTCTATGGGCCATTAAGGGTATATAGGGATTAGGACGCATAGACGTTTAACATTTATTCAACCCCTAAACCCCTAAAGGCATACTGAGTGTTTAGGGTTTAGGGTTTAGGGTTTAGGGTTTAGGGTTTAATTAGGGTTTAGGGTTTAGGGTTTAGGGTTCAGGGTTCTCTGTATCTGATGTGATCTCGCTGCACTGGCCTCCATGCTCATGAAGTCCTTGTCACCTGCACGAGACAACCCCAGTACTGAACTCTCTTTTCAACCATTGGGCGAGGATCGACAGTGGGGTGTAGCATACCATGCTGCACCATATAATCGACACTGAAGATACCTTAAACCCTAAACCCTAAACCCTAAACCCTAAACCCTAAACCCTAAACCCTAACTTTTAGGTAATATTCCCTTCAATGGGGTAACGCTGAAACAACTGCAAAGGCAGGGAATTGGAGGTGCATAGGCTTTAGGGTCAGATTTCCTGCCTGGTGTTGCGTTCGGCGACTGTGGAAAGTTGGGGGCTTCTGCAAGCCCAAAGGGGGACCTAACTCTTGTGGAAATACTGGAGGAGAGCCCAGAAGATCGGACTGCAAAATAGCTGACACACACTTCTCGTACCGCACGCTGATGTTTTTGTGAGAAGAAATCACATGCATCACGGACTTGGGGCTCCTCCAGCAAAGAGCAAGATCATCTAGGAAGGCTCGCAAAACATCTGAGCCCAAAAGGCTAAGCGACAGAACTCTTTGCGAGTAGCTTGAAAGTTGCTGTTGAAACATCTGCTGTGCGCATACCGTCCCTAAGGGGATGAAGGAATGGTAGTCATGGTGGTGCCTATCATACATTTCCTGCCTTCCCTACTAACCAACAACAATCAGACGACATGGCCAGTAGTGGCCAGAAGCAAGCTACTTCAGCCAGGGCCCCTGCAGAGACTTGGTTTGTCCACCGCACAACTCATGAAGACAGGCTACCAGAACTGCGATTCGCACCAGTAGCACTGCGGTACGTCCTGAAGCTCGCCACCTGTCACACCATCTTAGGGTAGATGCATGGTCCCGTAGCATGGGCCCTTACACGGGGACCCCTGAAAAACCCCTTATATACCCTATACAACCCACCCTTTACGGGAGGTAAGGGACCATGTTAAGGGCCCATCTGAAACTACCTTAGACGCCATGCTCTAAACTGACCCGAGAATCTAAGAGGGCTCAAATATCGAACTTCACGGCCATGGATGAAGGCGTGCCAAGGACATTCCAGTCAAGGCAGTTATATTAATACATTCTTCTATTCTTACACTATACTATTGTTATATTATTATAATCATATTCCTATATTACTCTACAAGATACATTCGTCTATTGGTATATGTACTAGATGTTTACGTTCTCTTATTTTATCCCGACAGGCCACAGGCAGCCAGGGCACTGTTCAGATTGGCTGGAGCTGTGATGTCCTGGAGCCACAGGGGGGGGGGGGGGGGCCGGAGAAACTGAGAGCCGAAATCACATCGCACGACGTTGCGTCATACGGAATCTAGAATCGTATCATTATGGTACTCTATAAGATTTATGGTACTGGATTCGAGTCGTACTATAATATTCTAGTGTTATGATCATCTAGCATCATCATGTTGTAGCAATCAACGATCATGTATAGTGGCTAGGTTGGCCAGTAACCTAGGATTGAAAAGGGTGCCCCTTTTTGGCTTAAAAGGGGTTTCTAAGGGAACCTACATCACCAAAAAAAAGGGAACAAGGGCACTACTGGGCGTCCCAGGTGGTGTTTTTGTTTTTGCCGGTCCTTCAGAGCATCCTCGTCCAAGCACGCCAAGTGCCGAGCTTCGGTCTGAAGGGGGGGATATTGGAGCAAGAGGGCAAGATTCGGCTCAGGGCATGATACGTGGGTTTAGGGTTTAGGGTTTAGGGTTTAGGGTTTAGGGTTTAGGGTTGGAATGTTCCCCCTTACACTAATTGTCCTTAATAGGGATTACAATAGGGGGCACTATAATCCCCTATTGAGGAGTGTTAGTACAAGGGGGAACATCCCAAATGATAGTGTGCGAATCTGGCAATGCTATCTTCAACGAATGTAAGAATATGGGAACATGAAATCTGCAAATATACTGATAGAATCATACAATACTATGATCGTATAACAGTATGGTACAGTATGGTAGTAAACTGATATAAAACTATAGTAGAAATAACAAGGAACATAAACATAAACATAATACAACACATAACTGTATAGAAAATACTATTTTAATCATATAAACATGCATGAATGTAGTAGTATCTTCATACATTACTATAATCATACAACAATATAAACAGCATAATTATAGTAATGTAGTAACATAATGATACAATCATATGTACTAATATGATCGTATACCTATATGTTAACAAAACCATAATACTCATAACAATAATACAAAATGGTCAATGTTCAGCTGCCACCTAAGCCCAGGGCAGCTTCCTCACTGTACGTCATGCCTGAGCAGCAGGCACAGGGTTTAGGGGTTAGAATGGCTGAGTGGAATTCCCGGACAGCTGTCTCAAGCCTTGTCGAGATCCAACGGATGCACCCTCATGACATGCATCAAGCATGCATGTATTCCTGTTTTGTTATTCGATTGTAGTAGTATATATCAGTTTATTGCCATATGATTGTAAGATCACAGTCTAACATTATGTCAGTATAAGATCTTTCCCGAAGCAGACTTCTCAGTAGCTGGCATCTCCTGCTGTCTGGTGTTCTTCAGAAGCGTAACCTGTACCACGAGAGCCTGTCTGGTCCAAAGCAGTCGGCTGCTACGCGCACCATCCAGCACACACCCTGAACACACCTGTCTATGGGTAGAGTCTCAGGATTTCAGAGAAGGAGTTCCGGTCGGGTACTGCACTGCGCAAATTCGTGTTGTCCATCTCTACGGCAATGTTTACTGCGATGCAAGCAGCTCCCTGGCCTCGAACGCGCCGCTGGTTTTCAGCGATGCGGCAAACGAGGCGGGGATTAGGGTTTAGGGTTTGTAGGGTTTAGGGTTTAGGCTTTAGGGTTTATAGGGGTTAGGGTTTGTAGGGTCTCGGGTGTTTCTTCAGGTCAGGTCTTCAGTGCTGCTGTTAACTGATGCCTGGGTTGCAGTTGCTACGACGCTACGATTTTCTGTCGTGACGTGGACATTCTCTATGTGTAATCTACACGATGGCCGAAACCTTTGCACCTAAACACCTGCAGCACAAGAAGAACAGCGGTAGGGGAGAGGGACATGCTGCAAGAGTCGAGCTCGGGGTTTTGCCCTTGAAAGCGCTTGCAAAACCAATCTATGCCAACCTACTCGGTCCGAATCTACCCGCCAGCGTTCCGACATCGATCTTGCCTGGGCAGGTGAAAACACAGCATCTTGCATGACTCTGCTTTGCCCCCCTGCCCTGGAGTGTGCTGTATGCTGGTCAGCATTCGTTTCAGAGCGCACTTTGCGCTAGCCTGCGCAGCCGCTTTGCTGCCCAATCATCATGGCCCTACTGTAGGCATGAGCTCATCTCAGACTTTCATGGCGGCATTGGCGATTGAAGAAAAGTCGTCTGCCTGCTTGGCTGAAACTCTGCTACCATCTGCTTAAGAACCCCCCCGAAAAAATGCAAAATCATCATCCCTAAAATACCCTTGTAAGAAAGACTTGCTTTTTGTTGTTGCGGGGGTTCTTAAGCTATTGGTAGTCTGACGAAGTTACATGGATTCAGGGTTCAGGGCAGGATCTGGGCCGAATCACTCCCACTGTCTCCCCCCTCCGTCCTGCAAGCGTTATACCCGAAACCCTAAACCCTGAACCCCTTCAAGTGCTGCGAGTCCTAAGGCCCCCGGAAAAATCGAATCGAACCCAAAACCCCTCCCAAGCCAAATGCCGAACCGAAGACCCCCCCCCGCCCTGGTTCGCCAGGAGAATCGCCCATATACCCTCCAGATCAACTGAACCCAAGTTGGGAAGCCTAAACCCTAAACCCTAAACCCTAAACCCTAAACCCTAAACCCTAAACCCTAAACCCTACAGGCTTTGGGTCTCCGGGCCCGGCTGAGGGTGGGTAAAGGGAGCAGGTTTTACAAAACTCCTCCATATATCTCCCCTTAGAACCCTAACAACAAGCACTTGTCACATACCTACCGGAAACCCTAAACCCTAAACCCTAAACCCTAAACCCTGAGTCCCTTACCTACCGGGTTTTCTACCAACCGAAGATACAAAATGGTTCCCAAGGAGGCTGCAGCTTAGGGACTGGCTGGTTCTTTGTAGGGAATGAGGGAATGAAGTGCCCTAAAAACCCTAAACCCTAAACCCTAAACCCTAAACCCTAAACCCTAAACCCTAAACCCTAAACCCTAAACCCTAACCCTAAACCCTAAGCCCGAAGCTCCCCCGAAACCCTAAACCCCAAACCCTGCCCCTTGAGCTCAACCCCAGCAGGTGGAGTCAAAATCCCGAGGGTTTTAAGGGTTTAGGGCTTAGGGATACGAATCCCAAACGTCCCGAAACCTGAGCACCTTGAAAAGACTCCTGTATTGACTCTGAGAGACGAAACCCTAAACCCTAAACCCTAAACCCTAAACCCTAAACCCTAAACCCTAAACCCTAAATGGTGCATCCTCTGTGCCCAGGCCTGCTGCAGCTCTGCGTCGGCACGCCTCCGCAGCGCGGCCGCCTGCGCCTCTGCCTGCAAGTTGAGCTCACTGGGTTTAGGGCTTAGGGATTGGGGTTTAGGGTTTAGGGTTTAGGGTTTAGGGTTTAGGGTTTAGGGTTTAGGGTTCAGGGTTCAGGGTTTAGGCTTTCTAGGGTTTAGGGATTCAGCGGTTCGGGACTTACCCGGACCGTGTAGCTATACAGCATATACTTGGGCCTTAAAGGGATTCCTATAAAGTAGCTTTCGGGCCCCATTATGTACAACATATACGTACATGGACTCTTCGGCTCAGAGAGTTCAGAGGGCGGGCTTTAGGGGGAGCATCGGGCTTTAAAACCTCCAAGGAAGCCCGGAGAAGCACTTGTTCGTGTCCGCCGTTTGTTGCGGAGTTGTCGGCTTCATTTCGCATCAAACTTGTGGCTTGACTCATCGAAGGCTGGTGGCACGAAGCTACGCATACCCAAGGCCACGGCAGGATTGGAGATACTTGCAACGGGGTGCAGGCATGGGACGATGCAAATGGGCTGTCGGGTTGAACGTGCACTGCCCGTTCGCCGCCACCCCATTCTAAACAGGCCACGTAGCAACAAAATGATTCTCTTTGACAGCTCGCGGAGCTGATGTGACGATGCAGTGACATCAACTGAGCAGCAACCCAACCACGAGGATTGTCGTGAGGAAACAGTATGCCTTCGCGCATGCCAGCTCTTCATTGAGAGGTCGTTGCCCGCCAGTCACCTCCCCTGCACACCGCGCACCAGCTCATCTTCCTGGTGAAAACTCTCAGCTGTCAGCTGCGCAGTGGCAGATCAAGCGGCGTTGTGCGGACCTCAGCTCTTGCAATGCTTCCCCATGTCACTGAGGATGGTATCGAATTCATCAATGCCGAAGTCCTTCAAGCAGCCTTGTACCCTCAACAGCTGCTCGTACGCCTTCTGTAAGGCTGCCCACTCAGCTGCTTGCAACCTCTGTAGCTTTTTTTTGCAAAGCCGTGGATATGTCAGAGTGAAAGACCTGTCCAGTGTCACTTGCCTGACTCATTGACCCCAGCGACCCTTGCCAGCATCATAAGAGCGTGGGCGGATTTCAAGCGACCAGCCTCCTGGATGAGCTCATGGATGTCATTTGTCACCCGGTGGCTCTTTTCTCATACTGCTGAGAGGGACGAAGCCTCTCGAGCTGGTGACAGGCACAATCTCGCTTTGCCAGCTCCTCGCACACAGCTTCCGTTGCGCTAAGCCTGGCATGTTGTTTATGAGGGGCTCTAGGACCACCTAGCACTTTATTGCGATAATGATTTTTATGATTACTGTTATTGCTGCATTCGGCCCCAATCCGGCCAATGCTGTTGCCTTGTGGTCGACCTTTGGCTCGCTTGGCCATGGGCTCTCAGATCTCACCATGTGCCATAGTCACCAGCCCCCCTCGCCCCCCCACGCCACCCCCCTCCTTGTGCCAACTTCAGTTGTGCTACTGGCGTACATCCCCACCTGCAAGGCACCAACCGACGGAAGGTCGCCAAAGCCGTCGATGGCATGACCCGCCCCCCCCCCCCCCCCCCCCCCCCCCCCCCCAAGTACTGCTCTTACCCTAAGGTCCTTGTACCCTAAACCCTGTACAAACCCCACACCCTACACCCGAAACCCTAAACTACTAAACCCTAAACCCTAAACCCTTAACCCTAAACCGTAAACCCTAGACCCTAAACCTTCCCGCTCCCCTGCGACCTCCGCGGCACGCTGCTCCACTGCATCGACCTGCTGGAGCAGCTCCCGTGCCTTGTCGTGGCAAGATGAGTGATGATGGCAGGTTTAGCGTTTCAGGGTTTGAGGGTTTAGGGTTTAAGTGGGTTAAGGGTTAAGGGTAAAGGGTTTAGGGCCGTAGGGTTTAAGGGATTAGGGTTTAAGGGATTAAGGTTTAGGGTTTAAGGTTTAGGGCTTTAGGGTTTTAGGGTTTTAGGGCTTTACGGCTTTAGGGCTTTAGGGTTTTAGGGCTTTAGGGCTTTAGGGTTTTAGGTTTTTAGGGTTTTAGGGTTTCAGGGTTTTAGGGGTTCAGGGTGTTGTGGGCCTTTTAGGGTGTTCAGGGTTTCGGGCGAGTAGGTTGAACAGTACAGGAGGCGAAGGGCGACGGTCCTAACAATGTCCAGAGTATATACTTGGAGTAGCATTCTGGGCCCAAATCAGAAACTACACACCTTGGGGATCACATGAACCCAACAGGTTGGGGTCATGCACCCCATACTCCTTGTATTCTCATTGAGGCATATGAAACCATATACCCGTTTAGGGTTCTTCTCTATGAGCCATACACCCTTTTGGGGTTCTTTTGGTTCCCAGGTACATGGAACCCCAAGCCCCAAACCAAAAAAACCTTAGCCCTACACCCTTACATTTTAGAGTTAGGGGGCTAGGGGTTTAGGGTTTAGGGGCCCTAAACCGTAAACCCTATTTTCGGAAACCCCCACATGAAGCCTCGGGAGCGTCGGGCCTTGACCTCGCCGGCCGTCATGCCAGCGCGGAGAGCGCGCTGAGAGGAGACCTGGACGGGTTTAGGGTTTAGGGTTTAGGGTTTAGGGTTTGGGGTTCGGGTTTAGGGTGAAGAGTTGGGCTTGGGCACTCCAGGGACACTCTGGGATACTCTGGGATACCTGTGATGAGCGAAGAGCAGACCGGGCGCGGGGTTTTAGGGTTCAGGGTTTAGGGTTCAGGGTTTAGGGCGCAGGGTTGAGGGTTTAGGGTTTAGGGCTTAAGGTTTAGGGTTTTGGGTTTACGGTTTAGGTTCAAGTCTAACGACCCCACACCCGGAGAGGGGAGCAAAAACCACCCCAGTTGGCAGAGCCTATGGGCTTGGTTTTGCTGAGGGTGTTCAGCGCAAACCCTGAACCCTGAACTCCCGCGTGGGTCGCACGCGCCGTGCATGTTAGGCGCGTGCGCGCGCCCCACAGGAACCAACATACAAGACTCTGGGGCATCTAGCCCTGAAGCCATCTGAAAATCCCAACACGTTGCAAGTGAGCACGTCAGCTTGCACTCCAGACCCTCAGCCCGAACACCCTGAAAGCCCGATTCACCCTAAGCGCTCAACCCCAAATCCAGTACCAAACCCTCAACCCGAAGCCCTCAAACCTAAACTCTCCCCGAATCCTGAAACCCTAAACCCTGAGCCCTGAACCCTCAACCCTAAACCCTAAACCCTCAACCCTAAACCCTCAACCCTAAACCCTAAACCCTAATCCCTAAACCCTGAACCCTAAACCCTAAACCCTACACCCCAAACCCGAAACCCTAAACCCTGAACCCTAAACCCTAAACCCTAAACCCTAAACCCTAAACCCTAAACCCAAAACCCTAAACCCAGGCCCTTGCCTTCGCTAACGCTGTGGCATTCGCCCGCAGCTCGATCGCGCGACGGCTGAAGGCCTGGGCCTGCTCCTGTCTGAAGAGAGGACTTTCAGGGTTTAGGGATTAGGTGTGTTTAGGGTTTAGGGTTTAGGGTTTAGGGTTTAGGGTTTAGGGTTTACGTTTCAGAGTTGTTGAGGGGGTTTTAGAGGGATTTCCAGGGATTTTTTTTCAGGGGGGCGTTCTTCGGCGTTTTTTCTGGGCATTGAAAGAGCACCTAAGGGGGTGATAAGGGTTTGGAGAAGAAGGTAGTCAAGGGTTTTGAAGGGGTCTTAAGGGGCTTTAAGGGGCGTTAGGGGGTTTTAGGGCTGAAGGGCTTTTTTGGGGTTTGCCGTGTTAAGGGGCTTTGGGATTGTGCAGTAGGGGTTGATTTTAGTGCTTTGGGGGGCCTGAAGGTTGCAGAGTTTGTAGATTGTTATAAACTTTGGTAACCAATCAATCATTTAAGGGTTTAGGGTTTCGGGTTTAGTGTTTAGGGTTTTGTCATGTCATCCATGTCTCTTCTTGGAAGTCTTGTTCGGGAGCTGTAGGTTTTGAAAGTGACGAAAGAGCTTGTTTTGCAGGACTTGGAAATCCACCATTATTACACCTTGGAACTAGTTCAGTTTTCTTCTCACATCTCTGTTTATGATGATTAATATTTACAAGGTGGTTCTACAGGAATAGTGCTTGGAAATGCTGCATTAGATCCAGCACATCTCATTTTGTTCTTTCTTTAGGAGCCATAACTTCTATCTTCTCTGGAATAATGTTTAATGGAGATAAGATTGTTGGTACTTAGACTTTGATCCTCCAGTACACTTTCTCTTTGTCATCTACATGTTATATGTTTTGGTATTCTTCTTACCTTTTTCCCCAATGCATTTCTTAGGATTATTTATGTTACGCCAAGAAGAACCCCGTCCTGTCCAGCTTCTTTCAGTTCCTAGAATGGTCATCTATTGGATCTGGAATAACTTTCCTATCTTTTGGTTTCTTTAAACAGGCTATGTATAATGGTACTTCTAAGGCCCCTAGAAAACCCTTTATATGTCTTCTTATCTTGTGAGGGAATATTTAGTACATTCCTAAAGGCCTTTAAACTTTTCTCACGGTCTGGCACTTAATGCATAAGGTTTTCTCTCTCTCCCCGCAAGCCCACTAACAGAGCAAATGAACCCCCCCCCCCCCCCCTCCGCCACAAAATCCTAAACCCTAAACCCTAATCCCTAAACCCTAAGCCCTAAACCCTAAACCGCGGGGGGCTGATCTGGCAAATGCACCGACGTCCCAGCCCATGTGGGCGGATGCAGCTCCTCTGCTTCGTTTTGCACGATGAGCTCCTGGATCCATGCAGTCAGGGCTGTGCTGGTTTAGGGTTTAGGGTTTAGGGTTTGGGGTTTAGGGTTTAGGGTCTAGGGTCTAGGGGTGATGAACCGTGAGGCGGACCACTTGAGATCATGAAGCAGCCGGCATGTAGGGCAACTGCAGTGACAGTGGCGCTCACGGTAGCCACGCCCTCGACTCTAAATCGCCTTCACTACCGAATCCGCCGCAGTAGACGCGACGTTGAGCTCGGCATTTCTCGCGGAGAGCTGCGTCCTGAATCAAGCGCACACAGGAGCATCTTCGGGTTTAGAGTTCTATAGAGATTTAGCTGCACGTGCGTGCAGAAGAACTAAGCGAGGTCTACCTCCCCAAAGAGCCCAAGAGCCCTTAATTCAGGAATATTCCTTAAATCATTAAAAGGGATCCTAGTAATTTCTAAGGCATATTCCTTAATTAAGGACTATTGGGCTCTCTGGGTCTACCTCCACCTCCACAAAATACCCCCCCCACAGCGCCCGTCATGGAGAATGGGGGCGTGGTCGCCAGGGAGTCGGCGCGGAACTGCTCGTCCAGGCCTTCCCAGCTTGGGCCCAGCTGATGGCAAGCTGGGGGTTTAGGGTTTAGGGGTTTAGGGGTTTAGGGGTTTAGGGGTTTAGGGGTTTAGGGGTTTAGGGGTTTAGGGGTTTAGGGGTTTAGGGGTTTAGGGGTTTAGGGGTTTAGGGGTTTAGGGCCAGCCAAGGTTTTACTCAAAATTAAGACACACTATTATGCAATTCCCCTGGCCCCCGCGTAGAACAGGGATCCCTCATTCAAACAGCACTTTGGCATGCCGTGTTCGATTCATAGCATGCGGTCCAGTATCTATCATTCAAAGATTGGGCCGCAGGGGGGCTGTGGGGGGGGGGGGGGGGGTTGCAACGTACAAAGAACCTACTCCTCCTTGCTGGGCTCAACACCAAACTTTGACGCCGAGGCCCACAACCCCATAGCCCGCTCCTTCTGGTGAGAGCTGCACAGGCGGCTGCCGCTGTGGGAGCAGCTGCTGACGACCCACGGAGTTGGACCTTAAAAAGGTGTCTTGTTTCATTCCTGGCCTTCCTGTTTCCGGGGGTGGGGTTTGAGATTCCGGGTTTAAGGATTTCTTGAAGGGCACGGGGCCTCTGCTCCTGTGCTCGTTTGTGTAATGCTTTCATCATTTCGGGATCCCTTAGACACAGCTTTTGTGACATTGTAAAAACAGGCGGCTAATATGGGAGGGGCAAGGCGGGAAGCGACAGTAGGATTCTTGCATCATGCGAAGCACAGCCAATATCTAGCACATGCACCCACACGAATCCCCTTCAAACGAAGAGCAGCGACAACTTATCACCGGGGCCGGAACCTCCCTGATAGGTCTTTAAGATGATGTAGGGACGCATTGATGGGCAGTTCCTATTCTAGACTAAACAATCTGGCAATTGTGTATGCTCCGGTATTCATCAGCTTTTCGGGCGTCGTGGCGGAGTTTCTTTCTGTTTGGCCTTTTGTCGGGGGGGGGTGGGGGGGGGGCGGATGTTCTGAATGATGCCCCCGTTTGGAGACCCAATTTCGGAAAAAAACATGGAAGAAAGTAGGGACTCGAAAAACAAAGTTCGCATGCACCCCTCAGCGCTACTGTACCCAGCGGCTCCGCCACAGTTTGGCTCAATTCCTGTCCACTGAGCGCACCGTCGCCGTCCAAATCCAGCTTTGCAAACTCCTGCTTGAGGGAGTCGGACTGGAAGTTCCGAGTTAGTGGTGTAAGGCAGGGAATTCGGATTGGGGGTCAAGCTTTGAGGTTTAGGACTGGTTTAGGGTTGAAGGTTCAGGTGCTTCTGGTTGTCTTGGGGACAGTTGGCAAGGCGGTTGTCCCCTGCGACCCTGTCTCAGGCATCTCTCCACGCTACAAGGTTGGGTGGGGCGACTGTGAATGCTAGTTGTGATCGTCCGGACGAAGAGCATTCCTCACGCATCAAAAGGACAACCAACATCGAAACCGTACTCAAGTTGTGGGTTTAGGGTTTGAGATTTAGGGTTTAGGGTTTAGGGTTTAGGGTTTAGGGCTAGGGATGCCCCAACCAAAAAAAGCGAGCTTCTGAGGACTTGAGTGTCCTGGGGGCTGACTCGGTCCAGGCCATGCGTTGCAGAGAAGCTCTCCAGCTCCTCATCATCGGGGCAGCTGGGATGTTTCCCCCTGATACTAACAGCTCCTTAGTAGGGTTTAGGGTTTATTTAGCTTAGGGTTGAGGGTATGGGGTTCAGGGTTTAGGATTTTGGGATTGTAGTCCCCCCCACCCCATGATGATCCCGATTAAGGACTGATAGTATAAGGGGGAACATCCCAAATCGCGGCCATCAAACCCAACCGTGGCGTAGATTAATATATTCTGGCAATTTCCTGTTCCGTTCTTACATTGTGAATTCTTCAAGTCTTATGTTAGTTTAAGAGTCAAAACATGAACACATTCTATTATTCTTACATTGTCATCTTACTATAGGGCTGCCGGGACCCTAATTTAGAGAACTACCCAAATGGTTCGCTTGCCACATGGCGCGTTGTGACCACAACATTTACATTGTCGACATAGAGCAGCCATGACCTCGACACTGTCATAAGGAACCAAGGGTTTAGGGTTTAGGGTTTAGGTTTTTAAGGCCATATTTTCCATTGGGGATTACGAAGGCTTATTTGGGGGATTCTCAAGCCCGGATTCGGGGCGGAATACTGTAGGGGCCTCAATAATTAGAACAGAGTTTTGGCGGGTTATTATCGGTTAACTGTAAGAGGGCCAGAAAAGAATCTCCTTCGTAATTATTCCGACCCCGATATTCTGGGGACCCCTTGGTTCCTTATCTGCTTCCTTGTTGGGGTCAAATAAAAAATGGTCATTTATATTCCTTATTGGGAATTTCTAAACATAAGCAACCAGGACCCAGTATTATGGGGGCCATTGAACCGCTCCTGCTGGTCGACCAAGCCGTCACTGTTGCGATCCAGGTTCCGCAGCATCTGCACCACCGGCTGGGATGCCTCCTGCGATGTCGGAGTTCCTAGCCCTAAACCCTAAACCCTGAACCCAAAACCCACAACCCAAAACCCCTAAACCCTAAACCCTAAACCCTAAACCCTAAATCCTAAACCCTAAACCCTACACCCTAAACCCTACCAAAACGGTGCGTTTGATCATCCTCCAGAGGAGCCTAAAGAAATGCCAACATCATCCTCTTATACATGAAGTCAGACTTAGAGAAACACTAGTTTAGGGTTTAGGGTTTAGGGTTTAGGGTTTAGGGTTTAGGGTTTAGGGTTTAGGGTCCGATAGCCACTTTCGCACAGGGACCTCGACTAACCATGAATGTGGCGAAAGAGGCGTACAACACCCTACCCCCCTCCGATTGGGTACCTTAGGCAGTGTGACGCTGTGCGTTTACACTTAGCGCCGCGAGCCGTTTGAAACTGCAAGCAAAGCGCACGCAGGACATCCTCAGAAAGCCGTTTGCAAAGTCTTGCGATGACTCCCAAAGAATGACAGAACATGAGCGTTCCCAGAGTTTAGGGTCCCAGAATGATGACCCTTGACATGACTTGGGGTTTTAAACGCTTAGAGTTTCATCGTTGTTGACCCCGGTGCACTGCAACTTGGGATCTCTTTGAGGGCTGTTTGTGCGGAATCTGAGTATACTCGATGGGGGACCCTAGGCATCGAGAAGCCCTGTGAGCCCTGCAAGCCATGTAAGCCCTTTTGAACCTGCTAACAATTCCCACAGCCGTTGTAGCCCGGAAACTCAAACTCGACAAAAGCCCTAAACCCTAGACCCCGGATCCTAAACCCCAAATCCCAAAACCTGATTTGCATTCACCCCACTGCACTCAGCTCTCGGCCCGGCCAAGCATGGCGTGAGCTGTGCCAAGGACCATGAACATCGCGGGCCGCGCCATCGCCCTGGCCTCTCTGAAAAAGGGGGGGCTTAGAACCTATAGGATTGAGGGTTAAGGATGCTTGGTTTTAGGATTGAAGATTTAGGGTTTCATACTCAGGGTGAATTCTATCCTGGTGGCGCGAACACCAGAAACTTTCGGCCGGGATCTCGGCCCAAAACAGCTCCAGGCTCAGAAACCCTGATCCCAAAACAGCGATTCAGAAGAGGTCCAGAAGGGGGTCAGAAGAGGCCCAGAAGAAGCCCTGAGAGTCTCCTGAGAGGCCCAGAAGAGGCGCAGAGGACTCGCGCACTCAGGTTGAGGGTGTGCTTGCTACCTACCGTGGACACACCTTTTCAGAACTGGCCACCGTGGAGCTTTTAGGGTTTAGGGTTTAGGGTTTTAGGGTTTAGGGTTAGTCGTATGCTCGCAAGATTCTCGGTCTCTGCTATCTTGCCGTGACTCGTCGGACAAGTCAAAGTCCAATCAACGGCATCTTCACCATTCAACAACACTTCGTCGCACACGGCCAATGCCTAAGCTGTCTGAGGCACGGACTTCGTGGAGGTTCGCTACCTTGGTGCCCCAGCCACCATATTATAATAAGGGCACCCTTTTTGGGTTGGTTAATATCAATTTCTAAGGGAACCTTGAACCAAAAAATAAAATTATATCAGGCAAAAGGGTACCACTGGGCCACTGGGCTACCAAGCTACAGGATGGGTCCACAAACCCCGGAAAGGATGGCGAGGGTTAGTGGCTGCGTTGGGCCGATCAGCAGCAAAAACGATCGACTTCACTGGCAGTCATGTCCATGCGCAGAGACTGGGGGGGGGTACCCGGACAAATACGCCCCCAAAGTGCTACACAATCCTCATTCTAGGAACCACAGTATACCGCAAGGTCTTACGTAAGACACCAAGCAATCCATACTACAAAGAGCCATCGTATGCCCCAGGATACTGTACAAGATACTATGCAAACCGTAAAACCCTAAACCCTGAAAGCCTAAAACCCTAAGCCCAAAACCTTACACCCAAACTCTGACCCCTGAACCCTAAACCCTAAACCCTAAACCCTAAACCCTAACAACTCCCCCTCCCCCCCCTCAGATTCGTTCAGATCAAATGCAGTGCCGCACTCCCCGGTTGGCCAAGACACGTCTGGAGGCAAAGCTACCAAGAGGTGAAAGATCATCAGCATACAGGGTTTAGGGTTTAGGGTTTAGGTTTAGGGTTTAGGGTTTAGGGTTTAGGGCTATTCTGATACTACGATGATGGTTCTCAGTATTGAAGCGCCTTTTTTGACAGGCTTTCCGGCCCAAGAGTTCACGTCTTTGGTGGGGCGTTTCCGTGCGCATCGCGGGGCAATCCGCTACACGATTGCCGTACACAGCAGCCACAATTAATAGCTTCTCTCACGAACTCACACTGCAAGCCCTATAACCCCCCAATCCCGTAAACAACCCTAAGCTCTAAACCATGGCTCAATACTTCAAAGGTCGAAGACCGCGGTTCAACAGGGCTTGACCCTGAGAAACACCCCAGCTGTCTGGAGATCCCGTGCGCGATGCAATATAGGGGGCCTTCATAGTTAGAATGGGGTTTGTTGAGGGGTCATTAGAGTATAAATATATAAAGAATCTAAGGGAAGACTACTAGTAATTCTTCCGACCCGTATAGTAATGGAGTGAGGATGAACGGATTTAGGGGGTCGCCTTCTGCGTGTTCTTCTTTATCTTCTAAAGCTTGCGGGGGGGGGGGGGTGGTGGGGGTGTTCGGAGGAGTTTTGCACTTCTGTGTGAACTACCCGTAAAGCACCGAAGACTAGGGCTGCAGAAGGGACAAATTCGATCCGAATTGGGGGAATTCAAGGGGGAGTTGGTTTAGGCTTTAGGGTTCAGGGTTTAGGGTGCCGGGTGCAGGGTTGATACAGGAGCTTATGAGAACCCTATACCTTAAAACCTAAACCTCGTATTGCGATCACATGCGCATTTGAAGGGTACTTGGAGGTTCATGGTACTTATTCACCCATTATAACTGTACTTATAACCCACTTATACCCCCCTCTAGTACCCTAATATGGTTATAAGTACCGTTATACTTGGTTGAGAAGTACCATAAACCTCCAAGTAGTGCATCGAAGGTCATGGCTGGGACCACTCAGATGGTTTAAGGTTTAATTGGGGTTTAGGGCTTAGGGTTTAGGGTTTAGGGTGTAGAATTTAGGGTTTAGGGCGGTCACCAGACAGTTCTCGTAGCGCATCGTCTACGAAGGCAGAATTGCATCCAGCCAGCATCGGGCATTACATCCTTGGACGCACGAGGGAAACCCTAAACTGGCCCTAAACCCTAAACCCTAAACCCCAAACCCTAAACCCTAATCTAGGGCTTCAATGGCTCAACTCTGTGCACCCTGGTGCAGGTACCTTCCCATAGTCCCATCCAAGGCTCATGGCTTAAGAAGCCATGAGAATCACCTTCTTGCGAGAGAATGGGCTCTGGAAACGGAGTAGGTGTTTAGGGTTTAGGGTTTAGGGTTGAGGGTTTAGGGGTATGGATACGGGCTACTGCTTCATAGGGATTGTGAGGGACTGAGGTACCCTATATCATCCCTGAAAGGGTATGTATAGCCCAAATTCCCTCATTCCCTACTATGAGCCGGGGGGACGACAAGAGTGATTGCCTTCTCCTAGCAATCGAATGGCGGGTGGCCCCTAGACCCATAGTCCTAAAAGGGGCCTTAACAATTAGAATAGGGTTTTGGGGGGTTGTGACCCTTAACCCTAAACCCTAAACCCTACAAGGAAACTTAATTTGAAATTATTCCGGCCCCTACATTGAGCCCCTAAACGTCATCCTGCTTCATTGGCAGGTCCAGAGCCAACCTATGAGTCCTGAGCCTGAAGAAGCAGCAGCATAACAATTTAGGGTTTAGGGGTTTAGGTGGGGTGATGCAAACCTGAGAGGGGGGAGGGCGAGTGCTCTGCATAAAAGTAAAAAAATGTCGCGGGCCTGCGCGGATTCTTTGGACTGTACATGATCCGGGCGAGAAAAAGATCAAGCGACCAAGTGCTCCAGGGAGGAGTCTGAGTCTAGACTCAAGCCAGCGCGGGTAATGGCCACGATCCGCCAAAGAGCCGAACACCCTAAACCCTGAGTCCTGAGTATGTCGTGCAACTGCATGTGTTGTCAGTCGTTCTAGGAGCAAGCCTGACTTTACGGCCGAACCGGTTTAGGGTTTAGGGTTTAGGGTTTAGGGTTTAGGGTTTAGGGTTTAGGGTTTAGGGTTGCGGCTCGTCGGTGGGTCTGTGCCCAGCCGTGGCTTTCGTCGCCTCAAACGGCTGAAACTTTGCTCTCAGTGGCGGCTTCCTCAGCAAGTAGCTGCTCGCTCATTTTGGCCATCAGAATCTGCCTGGCCAGGGCTTCTAGGGTTTAGGGTTTAGGGTTTGAGCCTGGACCTAGCATACCAACGCAAACCAATGTGGCTGATCACGCAGCATGGACCGTTGCTGGCAACCCTTGCTGTCTGTCATTATGGCCCAGCTACGTCGGCAAGCAATGAGTCATCACCGCGGCCATCATGACAAGAGCTGCCCTTTGAAGCATTCGCCGGCAACGCTGCGTCAAGCTCCTCCCCTGCTTGAAGAAGTTTCTGGCTTGATCCTATGCAAGCAAAGTGTGCCGTCAGTCTAGGGCACTGCTCGACGAGGCAAAGTTGCCGACTGCTAATTACGGGTGGCGGATGCTTGGCAAGTTGCTAGGGTTTAGGGTTTAGGGTGTAGGGTTCTTCCGGTTTAGGGCTTGATTTCTCAAGACCGCACACCCGTGATGTATTCTGCTGAAAGCAGCTCCTCCAGCATGTTCACAGCCATGCCAGTGTTGTCGTTCCTGGCTGGCGAAGACCGAAAGGACTGCTGCCCTCTTCAACAATTCCGCTTGTGATAGTCACATAACGAGCTTCGAGGTGCAAGAGTGCAAAGGTCACGTCCTTTAAATACAGTAAACCCTAAACCCTAAACCCTAAACCCTTACAGCAGCGCAGGTTCACTCCGTCCTCCGAGATCTACCGAAGAAGCCGATTATGTGGTGATTTGGGAAACTTTATGGGAAGTTCATAGCGGGGCATCCTAAGCAATCAAACGGGATTCAAATCCGGTAGTGCAAACACTGGAACTACACATTGCGGTTCGCCTACTCGGGGGTCGGTGTGTGTGTGTGTGTGTGTGTGTTCCGACACGGATTCAAATCCGAAAGATGCTCTGTGCTGACGAAGAAGTTCAAAGGGCTTGACGGGTTGTGCCGAGGGACTCCGGCCTGCCCGTACATTATGAAGTGAACAGTATGGGCCTTTCGGACAATACAAGACCTCAAAATACCACCAGGATGCGCAACGTCTTTGCACCAAAGCAATCTGCACCTTAAACCCTAAACCCTAAGCCTCGTTAGATTTGGTGGCCCGGAAAAAGAAGCCGGAACCGCAGAAGGAAAGCAGGAAAACAACTTCGGATCATTTCAGCGGAAAGGGTGTTCCAGAAGCTTCAACGCATCCTTCAGAAAACGTCGTGACATGAGGAAGCCCGTCCAAATCCAGAATGTCCAGAACCCCTGATGCGAAACAGTTGTAGCGACCGAGAAAAACATGATAAGGCCTTTCAGTCACGAGGCATGGAAAAATTGGCCTGCCATTTTCTGACGCCTTTGTCCCGGCCCAGCTTATGAACTCTCCGAGACGCGGCGAGTTTCATCGTGCAACTGACACCTCGACGATCCGCGATGTAGATCTCATTGTATCCTGTCACTCCTCACCGAGCGCAAATAATTACATCTCGTCGCGAGACGCGCGATCTGCACGTTGTCAGGTTCTGCCACGAGACGTCCCTACGCGAGCCTGTAGTAGAAACCCTAAACCCTAAACCCTAAACCCTAAACCCTAAACCCTAAACCCTAAACCTACTCAGATTCTCTTACTTTGGGCGGTCTTGGGGTCGGCTACACCCTCTGGCGTTCAGCTGGTCAGGTACATCCCCAAACTTGAACCCAAAACCCCGGATCCTAATTAGGATCCTTGCTTGAAACGCCACACCTCAACAAGATCCCTAAACCCCTAACATTCATGCGGCGGATTACTCTGAGTGCTTGAAGAGGGAAAACCCTAAGACCTAAACCCTCAACACCTTACACAGCCCCACATCTGCACCTGAATCCCCAAACCCCACAGAACCGAGGGTGCGGGGGGGGGGGGGGGGGTGCTGGGCCTGGGGAGGGACAGGATGCACCTGGCTGTGGAGGTTAAAGGACTGAAAACTTTCAAGTCCCTCCCTGAAGGCTCAGTTTTAACTGCTTCGGATGGGTTCAGGGTTTAGGGTTTAGGGTTTAGGGTTTAGGGCCTAGAGTTTAGTGTTTAGGTTAACTTCCTATACCTCTGGATTATCGCAGCCGAGGTGTATAATTCCCCTTAGGGCTGCAAGTTGCAGTTGCGCCTGTGGCGAAGTGGTCTGTCCAGTAGTTCCGCCTCTAACCGGGCAATGTGCTGCAAGACGTCCTGAGCGACAAGCTGAAACCCTCAAAGCCAGACTGCCTTCAGGGTTTAGGGTTTCAGGCTTTAGGTTTTTAAGTTGGGTCTGTAGGGCTTACCGGTTTGAACCGTTGCGGTGTGGATGCCTAGACTTTGGGGCCCGTGGGCAGCAGTCAAGGAGTCCCAAAAGGCCAGTTGAGAAACATGACCACGTGGTCCTGCTCCAACTCATCCCAGGCAATGATGGGATTGTCGGCATTCTTCCTTATAAGGGCAACAAAGGGATTACCGTTGCTTGCAGTTTTTGGGGAGCCATAAGCAAATGGTACGAAGAAAGCACACGCCGCCCTGGGCGTGCCCTAAACAAGACAACTTCGATCCCTGCCCTGCCCCCGGTTTCGGGTTTAGGTCTTAGGGTTTAGGATTTAAGTTTAGGGTTTAGGGTTTAAGTTTAGGGTTTCGTGCCATGCGTTTCATCCCTTTCACTGTGGCACGCTCTGTCGTGGCCCGCTCGGCCGCAGCGTCGGAAAAGCATTTCAATCGCACACATTGGCTTCCATGCGCACAGTAAGACACCAGGGCCGGCACGCCGCGTCAGAGTCTGGAGGTGGGGTGCCGTTGGGACCTGGGGCAGAACGAAACTGATTCCAAGCTCGTGGGTTCCACAGAAATTCGAAACTTTGAGGCAGCTGCTGAGCTGTATACTGGCCTGTCTAAAGTAAATTCATGGTTCCGAGTCCTGCCTGGGGCGCTCTCGTCGAGCTGCCGAAACCTATTCAGCTTCTTCGCCTCAGCACAACAACCACCCACAGTCTTCAGACGATCCGATTGCGCACAAATACCTCTTGACTCAGACAGGCTATCAACGGAGACAACTTCGATGCCCAGAAAGCACCTGCCTCCATCCGGTGGCACTTCTGCTGGTAGTTCTCGGTGAAGGTGGTGGTGATCACCGCCACCGCAATGGAGGTTATCAGTATCCCACCCAGCATCGACGCCTTGCGAGCGTCAAGGAGGGTGACTTCAACATGCACCCCAGCTGACATGAGTGCCCGGCCCCGCCAATAACCTTCCCAGCCGCCGTCTCGGGAACCTCGGATGGCTAGTCCATCTGTGCAGCGCCCTAAGCTTCCCCTAAACCCTAACTAAACCCTAAACCCTAAACCCTAAACCCTAAACCCTAAACCCTAAACCCTAAACCCAAAACCCAAAACCCTAAACCCTAAACCCAAAACCCTAAACCCTAGACAAGCTATCGCCTGCAGTGCAGTCAGCGCGCCATGTCTCCGTAGCCCACAGTGGAGATGGTCGACATGGACCACCACATGGCTGCCTGGGGTGCAGAGCTGCGAGAACTCTCTGCAAGCAACCCCTGAAACCCTATAACCCTATAATCCCTAGAACCCTACAACCCTATAATCCCTAGAACCCTATAATCCCTAGAACCCTATAGCCCTACACCCTACAACCCTTTAATCCCTATAATTCCTATAGCCCTATAACTCTACACCCAGTCTAGGGTCCTTGCCGTGCAGGTCCACTAGCAGCTGAGCGCTCCGCAGGAATCGAGTCGAAATCCGTGTTTGGCTGATCCGACCTTTGGGAACTTTGGGAAAGGTACCGGAGCGACATGCCAACTTGGCCTGTGGCAATTGTGGTGTGAAGGGTTTAGGGTTTAGGGTTTAGGGTTTAGGGTTTAGGGTTTAGGGCTTAGGGTTGAGGGTTTAGGGTTTAGGGCTTGGGGTGTAGCTCTAGTGTGGGCCTTCACTGGGACCTCCGTTACCAAGCAGTCCTCAGAGTTCAGGGCGCCAAAACTACACTAAAGGGTCCATCACTTTGCAACCTAAATTCCCAAAAAAACACACCCTAAACTCTAAACCCCAAACCCTAAATCCCACATCTGAAAACAACCCTAAACCCTAATTAAACCCTAAACCCTAAACCCTAAACCCTAAACCCTAAACCCTAAACACACAGAGCCGGAGCTGAGAGTGGGACTCGACGGCGTACACGACCGTGGCGCTAATCAAGGCCCACATGCTCACCTCGAGCTGCGCTACCTAGACCCCTGCTCATAATAAGATATACATACATGTCTGTATGTGTACATATGTATGTGTATATATGTGTATGTATGTATGTATGTATGTATGTATGTATGTATGTATGTATGTATGTATGTATGTATGTATGTATGTATGTATATATATATATATATATGTGTACATATCGATATTCCTAAACAAGAATAATAATCGCGACGGAAATCGGAAGGATGATTAGACATTTTAACATATGCACTTCCTGCTATCATTCTGGCAAATACTGGCAAGAGATCAGGTGCCTGCAAATGGGAGCTGCAATTCGCAGGGGCGGGGGGGGGGGTGGTCCAGGTAGAGAATCATTCAAATTATGCGGTCCTCCGTCTCGCCGCGCCCGTGGCAGCAGTCTCTGTGCCCCCAAGCGTGTTGTCGAGTATGCCAAAGGCACTTCCGAAATTGTAGTCACGGTTTTTTGTGTATGGAAGGAACCAATATTGAAAGTCGGTAGGGACCTGCAGGACATTCTGACACAAGAGCCAGACACTAAACCGAAACATGCCGCCCATGCCAGGGGCACGATTGCACGTGAAACCGTCGGCACGCCAAGACCAAACCGGAGCCTAGCTTCACTCGCAGCCCTGCTCTTGGCCTGGCATCTAGTATAGGGGGCCTTAACAAGTAGAACAGGGTTGGGGGGGCGGGGGGGGGGGGGGGGGGTGGGGATTATAGTATACTTCTTATATAGGGACCCTAAGGGTAGACATCGGAGGACTCTTCGAAATATTTCGACCTTTGAGGGGATAGTCTTGGTAGCCCAGTAACCATATCATAACAAGGGCACCTTTTTTGGGGTTGGTTACTTGAAAAGGAACCTTGAACCAATAAAAGGAAAAGGGTACCACTGGGCTACCCTAACCCTAAACCCTAAACCCTAAACCCTAACCCTAAACCCTAAATCCGAAACCCTAAACCCCCTGAGAGGATAGTAGGCCCCTGGCAAAGGCGACAAGGACCCAAATGCCCGTAATGGACTCCGCCAGGCTCTCCACAACCACACTGAGCACCTGCATTGGCAGGCATGGTTTAGGGTTTAGAGTTTAGGCTTTAGGGTTTAGGGTTTAGGGTTTAGGGTTTAGGGTTTCGGGCTTCGGGCTTCGGGCTTAGGGTTTAGGGTTTCAAGTGCGAGATGTCAGGAGGATCTGAGATCAGGGTCCTTCAGACCTATAAGGTTGAACGGGGCCCCAAAGCCCAAAACCCCAACCCCGTCACTAGGATGAGGCTCGGGTCGACACTAGAGGTATTCATGCAGTAACCCTAAACCCTAAACCCTAAACCCTAAACCCTAAACCCTAAACCCTAAACCCTAAACCCTAAACCCTAAACCCTAAACCCTAAACCCTAAACCCTAAACCATCATCAGCGCTGAGCATGACACCGCCGCTTTCCTCCCTTGTACTGCAGGCCTTAGGCGTCACACCGTCTCATTACATTGATTTGGGGGTTTATGAAAGTAAGGGCCCCTAATAGAATCCCCAAATAGTAGGATGCACTTATAATAAGGGCCCCAATGAATTTCGGAAACCCCCATTTATAGCTGGGCATCGCCACTTCTGGCGATCCCTCAAAGCTGTCGACAGCTACCTTAAGCCTAAGGGTGCCTCGGAGTGGCGCGCAAACTTGGCAATTCGCAGGACTCGCACAAGTCTGACCTCAGGCAAAGGGGGTGGAGGGGGTGGGGTGCCCTGAAGCTAAGCTGACCCTGATAGCATTTAGGGCCTACGGACACTTGTGGAGCCTAGGGAGTTTAGGCAGTAGTGTTCTGAAATTCTTGCTCGGCCCCCAATGCCCAAATGCCTCAACCCTAAACCCTAAACCCTACACCCTAAACCCTAAACCCTATACCGCCTATACCTTAAACTCCTTCGGACCGAGGCTCAAGAATACCCCAAAACCCTGAAAGCGCCTGAGGCCTTGCGCCGCCAAATTCCACAAACTCCGTATGCTGTAATATAATATAGTGTCGTGGGTATAAAAAACGGATGCTAATATGGGAGTAGCATATTAGAAATGTAAGAAGTAATCGAATACATCCCTCATCCCCCCCCCCCCCACCCCAGCCCCCTACAATCCTTGGAGATGCAGAGGCACGACTCACCTACAATTTGCTTGAGAACCCCGCAAAAAATGAAAATATATTCTTCCCTAACCGGGTAACACAGGGATTACTCTTTATACGTTTTAGGGGTTCTTAAGCAAAGAATAGTCCTAGCCTGCTGAGGTCGCCGCCATGCGCGCCAAGCGCACCATGCGCAGAGTCCGCAAAGAGCCCGCCATCTTCTCCAGGTGCTCGTGGTCCTGACCTTCATGTCATGGTTCCCCTACTACTACCCCCCCTAAACCCTAAACCCTAAACCCTAAACCCTAAACCCTAAACCCTAAACCCTAAACCCTAAGCCCTAAACCCTAAACCCTAAACCCCTACTAGGTTCCCTCCAATAGTTAAGGTTCTTTAGGGATGATGAAGCCTAAAGATGGGGGGGGGAGGGAGGTGCGGGAGTGGAGAAGGGTTGAAAGGTTGATATACCAAACACTAACTTTTTTTAAAACCACCCTTCTACATGTCGTTCCGCCTTCGGCGCGGGGCATCTTGCATTTCAAGGGTCGTGCCTAGCCCCAAAAAGGTTGACCTTTTACTCGAAATAGGCTTACATATACAAGCAACAGGTTACCCCATCAAACCCGACCCCCATTCAAGCGCTCCGGATTCTGGGGTGTTTAGGGTTTAGGGGATTGGGCTTTGGAAGCCTGCTGGCATGTTGGCCAGGAGGATCTTCTCTGCGTACCAAGGCCTGGGCACGGGCCGATGAGAGGAAGGAAACGGAACTGGAGGACAAGAATCGGGGACCAAACTTGTCGTGTCGGTCCACGATTCCTGTTCTTAAGAGGCTGTCATTCAGGTTTCAAGATGCGTGTTCAAGACAGCAAAAGTGCATTTCAGTCAAGGAGCACAAGTCCTTTTTTGACAACGGCAATGCAACACGATCGGCTTCACTGCAATGTTCGGGTCGTCGCCTGTCCCTCGCGAAGCTAGATCGCTCCACGAGCTTCCCAGGATGTCTTGCAGTTGTGTCCGTGCATTGTGCCCAACACCAAAAACTGCGTCCCCTCTGCCATTGATTGAACAAGGCAAAAACACATGACCCTAAACCCTAAACCCAAAACGCCTAAGTTGCAAGGCATGCGTTTGGCGGTGCGATTCATGTAGCCACATAGGTCTACATGAACAGCCAAGACCACGACTGGCTTTCTCAATAGGGGGGAAGCAACACCCAGCAACCGGGCTTCCGACGATGTCGCCAAGATATCGATCTGGTTCGACACCGTGCAGATGTAGCGCCTCCAAAACGTGTCAACACTCTCACGCTGTGTCAATACTCCCCCCCCCCCCCTTGCTCCTGGTGTGAGAAACCCAGTCCCAGAAGTGATAGCATAATTACAAGGGGCCATAAGGGAATACCATTAGTAATTATGTGTAATTATTCCGACCCCTGTAGTAACGAAACAGAACCTGAGGTGTCACACGGTCATATCGTGCATGCGTGCGATGCCATGAGCTGCAGGTTCATCTGGCACCAATCACACGCGATTTCTACTTAGTTGCTGAGTTCACAAGCCCCCCCCAAAAATGTACACTTTTAGTTCTATAGGGGATTATAGTATCCCAAAAGTGTGCTCACTCAGCTACTAAGTATGCGTCCTGGCAATGCAAATCCGGCCTGCAGCTTTCTGTTGACATTGCCTGGGATCAGCCATGAGGAAAGGACGTACGGTGACTTTTCAAGATCTGAGGGTTTCCGAAGTTTTTGGGTACCTTACTGGGGTCCTTATCATCAGGGAATCCTAGTCTATCTTAAAGCTCCCCTATCTTCGTAAACCTTCATGTAGCAGGTAAATCTAAAGAGAATGCTGTAAGGCGGAAGCGAGCAGAGCTCAGGGCGTGGCGCGAAGCAGCACTTCTGCAGTGAAAATGATGGTAAACACCTCCAAGTGGCAGATGCATGCCGCGTGTCCCCTGATCAGTGAAGCCTTACCCGAAGCCGGCAGGTCCCCTTCATGCTATAGGGGCCTGGGACACCTTTAATTCTGAAAGGGGTGCTTTAAAGGTGCGGTTTGAGATGTTCCCCCCTTATACGAACAGCCCTTATAATCCCCATTAAGGACTGTTAGTAGAAGTGGAACATCCCAAGGTAGCATCTTGACAGTGATTGGAGGGGGTTTAGGCATCCGCCATAAAACCTAATCCGTCTCCTGCCTTCTCCGACAACTTAAAGCTCTCGATGTGCGCCTGATCCAAGGCCACTTGCTATCATTAGATTTGTTGATCAGCATCGTTTTTTGTGTGTTTTCAGCACTACTACTGTTGGTATCTGGCTGAGGCATTGGCTGAAGACTACTTAGGGGTTTGGGGATCCCCACAAACACAAGCAGCACTTCACTTGAAGGCACGCTGCTTCTTCCTCCGGCTTCCTGCAGAGACTTTTCTTATGAACCCCTCAGTCCTGAACCCTACGACACCCTAACCCCTAAACCCTGATGGCCCCAACCCGTAAGCCCTGGCCCCTGGACCCTGAATCACGAAAACCCGAAACCCCTACAAGGACTGTATATATGTAGGAGCTGTGGGGAATAAGAATCAGGTTCTGGAGGTTTTAGGTTCAGGGTTAAGGGTTAAGCCCTCAACCCTAAACCCTTAAACCCCTAAACCCAAAACCTAAAACCCTAAACCTTAAACCCCTAAACCCCTAACCCCCCAAACCCTAAACCCTAAACCCCTAACCCCTAAACCCCTAAACCCCTAACCCCTAAACCCTAAACCCTAAACCCTAAACCCTAAACCCTAAACCCTAACCCCTAAACCCTAAACCCTAAACCCTAAACCCCCAAACCCCTACACCCCGAACCCGGGGATGCCCTGCCTGGTAGAGGCTCGGCACCGTCTCCAAGACCTGCTGGTGATAGGGTTTAGGGTTTAGGGTTTAGGGTTTAGGGTTTAGAGTTTAGGCTGTAGGGCTTAGGGCTTAGGGCTTAGGGTTTTGGGTTTCGGGCTTGGGGTAATTATGGGTCTAGGGTCAAGTACCCACCGCGAAGATTACAGGATTTGGGGTTTAGGGCTTTGGGGTTTAGGGTAACTCCTTGCGACTGGAATGCGCAAGCACTATTTAAGATAGGTGGAACACATGAGCGAGCGGCAAAATTCAAAGCTGCTGCCGCGGCTTTGCAGCTGTTGTTATCGCTTGTGGTATTTCACGTTATCGCAGGCCAGCATTTCATGATCCCGGCTGGATTGTCGTTGATTTTCAGTACTAGCTTAGTACTGAAATCGAGGTTTTGATGATCCCGGCTGGATTTTCCTTGATTTTGAGTACTGGCTTAGTACTGGAATCGAGGTTTTGATGATCCCGGCTGGATTTTCCTTGATTTTCAATACTGGCTTAGTACTGGAATCGAGGTTTTCATGATCCCAGCTGGACTGTCGTTGATTTTCAGCACTGGCTGAGTACTGGAATCGAGGTTTTCATGATCCCGGCTGGATTGTCGTTGATTTTCAGTACTGGCTTAGTACTGGAATCGAGGCTTTCATGATCCCGGCTGGATTGTCGTTGATTTTCAGTACTGGCTTAGTACTGGAATCGAGGTTTTCATGATCCCAGCTGGACTGTCGTTGACTTTCAGTACTGTCTTAGTACTGGAGTCGAGGTTTTCATGATCCCGGCTGAATTTTCGTTGATTCTCAGTACTGGCTTAGTACTGGAACTGAGGTTTCCATGATCCGGCTGGATTCTGAACTCCGAGTCTGACGTTCTGCAGCCTTATCGCTTTTCGTACTTCACATTATCGCAGGCCAGCTTTATCAAACATGGCCCTTGTACCAGGAACGTCATCGCTTTCCACACCATGCACAGCTGCTCTCTCCCTACGAGTTCTCAAATCCTCTCGTCAGGCGTTTTCCTGTTCAGAGTATATTGCCTGTCGATCACATTCAGGGCTGCAAGCCCTAAAACCTTTCAACTAAACCCTGACTCATTCTGCTGCGAGATAGGGCGCGGGCCGCAAGAATCGTGGAGATGATGATTAAGCACATGATCAGCGTCTGCATGACAGAGGCCTCGGAAAAGAGGCTTCGGAACGCCACCCTGAACCCCAAATGTCTCTGAAACCTAAACCCTACACTCTAAACCCGAAACCCTAAACCCTAAAGCCCCTGCAAAAACCCCTCTCGATGCAAGCATGACAATGCTTGCGGCGATATTGCCATGGTTTAGGGTTTAGGATTAGGGTTTAGGGTTTAGGGTTCGTTGATTCAGGAAGGATAAGGGCATCGGAGGTGTGCAAGACTGGTTTGTCGCCATGCTGCTGCATTGCTGCTCTCCGGATGGTCCAGCAGCCTCCTGTGAGTGTCATGGGGGGTTCAGGGCTTAGGGTTTAGGGTTTAGGGTTAGGGTTTAGGGTTTAGGGTTTACAATAGGGTCTAGGGTTCAGGGGTTTAGGGTTTAGGGGTTCCTAAACGGCATCCACCAGGTCGGGGGAGGGGAAGACCGCAACCCTAAACCCGCCATCAAAACGCAAAGCCCTCAACCACACCATAACCATTGGAAGGGCAGGTGGGGGCGGCGAACCGGCGAGCCGAGGGACACGTAGAGAATTTAGAGATTTAGGCAGGCGTACCTCGATGAAGATCAGGAGACAGACCACACAGGAGAGCTACCGAAGGCAAAAGACCTATCAATCCCCTGGGAATGAGTGACAAAAACTGCCCGTTCACATCAAACAGCCGAAGCAACACATCGCGGTGTTTTGTCCGGACGTCCGCAGAGGAGCTCTTTGCAAGGGCAGCTCTCGGGCGAATGTGCACATCTCGATGTAAAACGATCCCGGCATCAGGAGGCTTTCGGACCCCGGTCATGTTGAACATCACTCACGAGTGCTTCATTTCCATCGCATGCGAGCTGACCTTGACTGTACACTGCTCCGCCCCGTGGCTGGTCACGCCAGGTCTGCGCAGCGTGACACGCTGCGCGATGTGAGGTCCCTGAAGCGTTCAGCAGCACGGGTTGGGCCCTCTGTTGGGCACAAGAAGCATGGGCCCCAGCCACTGTCATCTAACAGGTTACAGGAGCCTAAACCCTACAAACCCGGCCCTGCAAACCCTACACCCTGCAAACCCGACAAACCCTACAGACCCTACACACCCTATAAACCCTACAAACCCTACAAGTACTATAAACCCTACAAACCCTACTCTAAAACCCTACCAACCCTACTCTTAAACCCTGCAAACCCTACAGACCCTTAGAGTTCAAGGGCCTTAGGCCAGCTTCTTACTTGACTCGGTGAGCCCAGCAACGACGCTCGGCATCAGGGCTCCTTGGAGCTGGTGCGTAGGCATGGGGGTTAGGGGCTGGATGTTCCCCCTTATACGAACAGTCCTTAAAATCATAGGGATTATAGTAGGAGGTTACTGTTATCCCTACCAAGGACTGTTCTAGTGTAAGGGGGAACATCCCAAGTTTAGGGTTTATGGGAAGAGCTTCGGGACCCACAAATGCGAAAACTTGGGGTTTGCGGGGTCGGTTGCTTCACAAAGAACCCTGACCCGGTGCCTGTGGAAAACTGAAATGGACTCAGCGAAGCTGGACATTCACCCCAAAAATGAGAATACGATTTATAACATCAAAAGTGTTCTTCAGTCATGTTAACAGTATGACAAAAACCAACACTCTTTCTAGCAATTATGAATACGATTGCCGAAGCCTGAGCTGCCCCAGAACCTGCCGCAAGGAACCAGCCGAGTGGCGCACGCGGTCTGCCTCTGCGGGGTTCACGAGTTGCAAGAGCGGTGCCTGGTGGAGAGTGGATGCCATGATGAGCATGGAGCCTTGGTCGCCAAAGTCTGGTGTCACAGCTGTTCCAGGCGTGGAAGATCGCATATGGCTATTTCACAGGGTATAGGGTTTAGGGTTTAGGGTTGAGGATTTAGGGTTTTACCAAACTTGCTGGGTGGGATTCGACTCATGCTCCCGAACCCGGACCAAGCAGCGCTCCATCTTCTCGACGGGGTTTCTGTTCCTCAGTAGCTGGACTACAGAAGCAGGCTGCCTCTAAACCCTAAACCCTAAACCCTAAATAAACCCTAAACCCTAAACCCTCTGTGCAAAACGGTGACGGTCATGAGCCCAAGAGGCTGCTGCACCAAGGTGTTGAGGATGGTCTCATCGAAGCAGTGCGTGGCCTCGGATGAAGCAGCTTCAAGCTTCGGAAACATTTACTTAGTCAGCTGCTGAGTTCATAAAGCCCTCCTCCCTCCTCCCCCCCCCCCTTCCCCCCAAAAAAAAAGAGGTTATGCTTTCAGTTCTAGAAGGGATTATAGTATCCCAAAAAGTGTAAAGTGTACTCATTCAGCTACGCAGGTTTATTAGGGAGCTCAGGATCGCTTCGAGGAAGTTCGGCTTCGACTTCGGCACATTGGATCACTTCAGTGCGGCACGGGGACAGCGACGAGGATGTGCAAGGAAGACTCCAGGGCCTTCGGGGTTTAGGGTTTAGGGTTTAGGGTTTGGGGTTCAGGGTTCAGGGCTTAGGGTCTCACATTTCGCGATTCAATCTCTGGCGTTGAGAAGCAACAGCATATTTATCTTGGGGGGCTTCCGCAAATAAGGGTACCCTTTCCTTGGGATCCCTTTAAGGGGATTCCATCTTTTTGGGGTAGAGAAGGGGTACCCCTATTTTGGGAAATACCCATCTTGCTGAGTGATGTTTATGTATTGGGTGTCCTCCTCATGTTGCTTGAGCCCTCAACCGGCTTATGGTCCGTTGCGGCCTCACCTCCGTCACATGTTGATCGTCATTCTTTCAACCAGAATTTCGAAGCTGAACTTGACAAACTATGCTTAACCCTTTGAAAAGAACAAACGTCACTTCCCTGTGGTACCCTCAATACATACCAAACTAGTACAATCTCATTTTCGGAACCCCCAAAAGGGTACCGCCTATTTTCGGAAACCCCCATTTAGGCTCTAGGGTCGCCAAGCAGCCCGCCCGCAAACCCTGCGCATTTAAACCCTAAACCCTAAACCCTAAACCTCTTAAACCCTAAACCCTAAACCCTAAACCCTAAACCCTGCGCCGCCTCAGCACCGGAGCGGCTCAGCGCATCCAGAAGGTCGAAAGCCTCGTGCAGGGGGGGGAGGGGGGGGGGGGGTTGGGGTGGCTTCTGGATGCTTTTGGATCTTGAGGGTTTCTTAGGGTGTTTTAGGGCTTTAGGGTTTTTAGTGTTTTGGGGCTGTTGGGCTTTAAGGTTTTTGGGGTGCTAGGGTTTTTGAGTTTTAGGGTTTTGGGGAATTCTACCATCCGGGTCTAAAGGGGTTTTAAGGCTGTCGAGGATGGCCCTTGACTATGCTCGGTAAAGTCTACGAGAATAACGGCACGTCGTGGCCAGGGGGTGAGTGGGGGTGGTGGTATGTCGTGAAACCTCTGCACATCTGCGGGCATTTCTGAGTTTGATGATGTACATAGGGGATGGTGAAAGCGCACTTTGAATTTGCAGCTTCAAGAAGAACAGGCGTGGAATCAACTCAATTCTCTCAAAGCCAAGACAATCGAGGCAGTCAGCCGGTGTTCCTGCTAGATTGGTTTTGAGACACTGTCCATGCCGGGATGATCGCAGGCTCGGTGCTACAGAAAGCCTGCTCAGACCCTGAACTATCTATCACCTAGACCCCCGATGGTAGATCCTGGCCTTGGGTGCTTGATTTTGTGTAAAACCAGAGAAAAGTCTGTATCCCAAAGCAAGAAGTCCTAAACCCTAAACCCTAAACCCTAAACCCTATATACACCCTAAACGATTTCGTTTCTCGAATCCGGCCTTGTTGGTCTCTTCGCGCTGGTCCGCTGCGCGAAGCCTGGGTGACGACACGGAGCCATGCGGTTTACTCAGGCGCTTGGGTGTCTTAGGGTTTAGGGTTTTGGGTTTAGGACTGTATGTAAGTGGATCTAAACTTCAGGCCCTTCGATAATCTATGAGGAATGGCTCATGATTTGGTTCGATGCTCATAATCTCAGACTCATAGTGCTACAGTTCTTCAACTCTATAACAAACTCTAAACCCTAAGCCCTAAACGCGAAGCACCCGAAACCCTAAACCCTAGACCCTAGACCTAAACCCTCAACCCCAAACGGCTAGGCCTAAACCCAAAGCCGTCTAAACCCAAGACCTAAACCCTAAACTACCCTAAAGCGCACAATTCAGCACTCAAGGCCAAGCCACTGTCGAGTCCGGGGTTCGCCAAGCAGTCCTGGCTGCTCCTGCGCAGTGGAGTTTAGGGTTTCGGCCTAGCCGGGTTTAGGGCTAGGGTTTTGGGGCTTTGGGGGGAAGGGGGAAGGAGGGGGGGAAAAGGGTGGGGGGGGGAGGGGACTGGGGTTTGAACCCTAAACCCTAAACCCACCCTTAAACCTAAACCCTAAAACCTAAACCCTACATCCTAAAAACCCTTATAAACCCTTGTAAACCCGTATATAACCCCTAAACCCTAAACCCCTAAACCCTGAACCTTGGGGTGTGAAGTGTCAGGAAGCCGGGGTTTGGAGGCCCAAAGGGGGCTCAGGGCTCCAGGGGGGGGGAGTGCGGCGTTTTAGGGCATTGGCGCTTTGGAGGTGTTAGGCCACGCTTCAGGGGTTAGGGTTTACAGGGTTTACAGGGTTTGGAGGGTTTAGAGGGTTTGTAGGGTTTATGGGTTTTTTAGGGCTTAGGGTTTACTGAAGGGCTCGAGGGCTTTACTGGGCTGGCCTGTAACCCATCTCAAAAATACTTTTATGCAGCATCCCTTATTTTACCCAAGCAAAGAAATATACAATGTCCCCAAAAGCCACCCCAGTCTGGGGTTTAGGGCTCTTGGGGCTTGTTTCTTTTGGAGTTTTTGTCGGTTTTAGGCTTGGGGTCTCAGGACGTGGAGGTTTAGCGTTTGGGGCCGGGTTTGGGGTTTTGGGGTTGAGGAGCTTGGTTTTCGAGTTTTTTGGGGTTTGGGGGTTTAGACTTCTTGGTTCTTTTTGGGTTGGGGGCTTGGGGTTTTCAATTGCCGTGCTTTGTTCATGGCGTGGGGTTCCGTGAGGATTGGGATGATAAGGCTTGCGGTTTCGGCCGTCTACAGGGCTCAGACGTTAAGGGCATAGGAGTGAGCGTTTGGCGAGCCATCTCTGCGACACAAAACAGCAGGCACGAGAGCTGGATCATGAACTTCATACGGCCTCGTATCTTTAGAGCAACCAAGAAAGGGAACCAGGGACCAAGCCCTATGAAGGTACTTTATGCCCATGGGCAATAAGCAAGCGGCAAGAGGAAACGGTTTCCGCCCCAAACACTCGATGACCGGCCCCTTGCGAACGTGAAAAAGCGTAGACCAAAGGCGGTTTAGGGTTTAGGGGTTTTTAGGGTTTTCAGGTTTAGGGTTCTGGCTCCTGCTTCGTCCACACCGTGGCCACATCAATGTTGGTTGGGCGCAACCTTTGTATAACATCAGCTTCGAAGTCAAGCAAACACAGCTATACGCATAGGGTGGATTGTTGACAAGCCGCACGGCATCGGTGTCGAACTTCAGGTAGTTTGCGTCCAGCCGGTGTGGCAAGGCAGTGTAGTCCACAGTTCCGGAGGAGTCTGCCTGCTGCCACAGCAGGGCAGGCGCTGGCCCAGCCGTAGCTGTACCCAAAGAGCCCAATATATCCCCTTAATTCAGGAATATACCTTAAATCACCTTCGGACCTCTCTTATGATGTAAGGCATATTGCTCAATTAAGGGGTATTGGGCTGGCAGAGGTTGTGGCAATCACAAAACCCGTTGGAGTTGAATCAACTGCATCCTCCTGCCGATGTTTTCCCTTCAGCCGCTATTTAGCACTTGCCATCACGAATGATCTCAGCCCTGCCCCACTCGCTGTCACCTGCGCAGCTGCTGGCCCTTGTGAAGACGAGGATGGCGGCGCTTGTGGAGGAGAAGGTTGCGGCGCTTGTGGAGGAGAGGCTGGCGGCGATCGGGGGTCCTGACCGACACCCTCGAGTCCTAAGCCCAAATAGTAAGCCCCTGAAGAAAGCAAGGAAACAGCTATCTTCGTCGACCAACTCGAAACCGAATTGTGAAGCCTCAACCCCACGTCCCCTTGTACCCTAAACCCTATGGAATACTGCGAATACTGTGCCCGGGTTTAGGGTTTAGGGTTTAGGGTTGAGGGTTTAGGGTTTAGGCAACACTGTTGAGGCAGACTTCCATCAAGATGCCAGCGGACTGATTGCTGCCTTGCC